AAATAATTTTTTTCTTAAATATAAGAAGAAGTCTTGAAGATGCCTTTAATTCTCGTCCTTTTTGTATCCATGGCCTAACTCACCGTCGTCTGTGATTGCGGTTCAGTTGACAGTGATGCTCGTTAAGTATTTCTAAACTAAGCACACTCACACCCATCCTAAATTGATAATTTTAATAGTTGTCCTTCTAAATTTTCAATTTTTTCTAGTAATGGAACTAAACATCCAAAGACTACTAAGATATCTTTGGGTGCCATAAATCTCTCACCTAATTGCATTATGACGTTGTCTAAGAATGGAATGAAAACTGATATTTTGTAATATTCTTTTGTTATTGTATTTCTTTGTCTAATTCTAAGTATAAGTGGTTTCCAATTGTTTTCCAAATATATTCCACATCAACTGGTTTCCTTCCAGAAGTCGGTATTTATCATTTAATAATAACAATAATAATACTTTATTACCCCATTTTATCAAAAAAGCGTAGAGTGCTACAATTTAACAATATTCCATTCGGATTTTCCATGACAATAGCTCTCAGTCTTCTCCGGAATCTTGAAACTGGTAGGATCCTTGTACCTTCCGAAATGTGATTGTAGATCTTGATACTCTGGTATAGAGCCGTCTTCTGAGTCTTAGTAAGGTGCGTTTTTGGTAGCACCAGATAGCAGTTCACCTTCCCGCGTGTGCTTGAGGATGTATTTCATATTTTTTGAAAAATTCAAAGTAATTCTTCCTAACCAATAGGGCACATTCCAGAATATAAATTCCATACACGGTATTTTATAGTCTTTAAAGTAACTTCTACAGCTATCAGTATTTTTTAGACCAAAGATTGCTCTTACGCACCTCTTCTGTGGTATGAAGATTCTATCTATACCAACACCATGGCCCCAAAAGACAACTCCATATCTTGGCAAGGAATTAATATATGCATAATAGGCATTTAATGCTGCTTCAATGACAGCTGATCTGGAAATAATCCGAATGCAACAATCCGAACTATAGAGGACCCATTTGAAGTAATTTTGACAAGGGTAGTGAGTATGCAAAAACGACTTCCATAACTAAAAGAGACAACATAAATTCGGAAGAAGTTAAAGATTTTTCAACAATGTTGTCCCAGATGACGATTCCCGATCTTTCCAAGTTGATATGTCTTCTAGAGCAGACACTACGGATTTTAACAGTTCTTTCATTATAACAATGGAATCTTGTCGTTGAATCCATCGCGTGGGACACAGTTGTTGTAATTTGTCTCGTCTTGTTGTGGAGTTTAACTCATTGATTTTTTCGGTTAAGACAGTTTGGTGTATTAAAAAGATTGTATGTATTTTTAATTATACCCATACAATGTCTAATATGTACAGTACTGTCGTCTGAAATAGCCAGATTCAAAAAATGGGAAGCACAGTGGAAATTGTTCTAATTTTGATACATCTGTAGTCTCATCGGCCAGTACTGAGAAATATCTAGTTTCTTTTGCATAAATAAAATAATTTTTCATAACATTAAATTGTTATAAACAGTAGCTTCAGTTTATTGTTTGTTTCGCATTCATGATTTAATTTTAGTCTTTTTGATTTAATTGGAAAATGTGTATTATAAAGAATAATATTTTGTCTGGGGTGGCAATTTCCTGCCCCCCGAATACGCCAATGGGAACAAGGAACGTGTTATGCCATTTGCAGATTCGTAAGAGTCAGCAGAGGAAGAGATGATATATAAGAAGGATGAACACTCTATGTTACCAGAAGAGGAGACAAACTGCCGAACGCCAAGAAGCGAAGAAAAATGTAAAAAAAAACTACGACCTGTTGTTGATAGTTTCAGTCTTAAATCAGGGTCTGCATTTAATCTGTTTCTGTATTTATCTTTCAAGTAAGTATATATGGAAAATCCTTTCTCACATAGATAGGTTGTGCAAAAATGTAATAAAACGTTGATAACTTTTTCTGACAAAATCGCGTATTCATTTCACATTGAGTTATCCTATCACAGGATAACTCAATAAGTTTTTCTTTTTGCACTAAAGTTAGAAAGATCTCCAAATTTAGAACTTTTTGGAAAGGACGACGATGAAGATATTTGACATGTTCACATATTATATTTGTTTTAATGTTTTTATCAAGTTTAACTGAATTTTCCGATAAAAAGCTACTGAGAGAACTAAAACATTCGTACTCATTCATATGCAGACATTGGATCGAAAAGATAAACTTTTTTAGCATGAATTCAATTCTATCATGCACACCGAAGATGGTGACACCTGTGCCGTGCAGTGATAAATATAATTCATTTAATTTACAAAATATATCAGCTAAATATGCATGCTTTTGCAGCCAAAGAATATTAGATAGAGAAGAAGATAAATGAAATGGATGTTCAGTAAGAAATGTTTGAACATCAGATTTTAACTCAAATAAGCGTGTCGAAACTTTGCCACGGGAAAGCCATCTAACTTTCTTGTGAAGTAATAAAGAAACGTGAAGCATTCTAGAGTCTTCACAAAGCGCATGAAACAGACGGAAATTAGTAGATCGCGATTTTATAAAGTTTACATTTTTTACAGCATCACTTAAAGTAGTAGATAGTTCAGTAGGAATAAGCTTACGTGTCAATGCTTGTCTAGGTATACAGTAATGTGTCCATTCAATTGTTTCGTTGATCTTCTTTACCCGTGCCACAAAACCAGAAAATTTTCCTGTCATTAATTTTGCACCATCTGTGCACACACCCACGCAATAACACCAATCTCAAAATAACTATTAACCATATAAAATATTGCTTCTCAAGTTGCATGAGTTTTTAACAGTTTTGCAAACAGCACATCAGTATCGCAAAATAATTACTTGCCATATCATAAATTCTACGCGATACTGTATTATTTGGTTAACAAGGTTCTAATATATAAAGAAGTGAAGTTATTAAATAACACTTTATCACAGAAAGTGATTGTTTGTTAACAATAAGAATTTCTTTTGCCAAAAAAGGTCTAACAGGTAAACGTGCGAGTTCGTAAAAACTATTTCCAAGGATGTAATTGTTTGTTGTATTTAAAAAATAACATTTATTTCAGTGAATTTAATGTTTATACTTAGTGCCTGGAAGAGTTAAAACACCTCTTTATTAAAAAAATAATATAATTAAATTGTTTGTAACAATGTTTCAATAATACAGTGAAAATGGCAAAAAATGAAATTTTGCACGATTGTCGTAAATTAACGATATCTCTGGTAAAATACATTCGACCATGGTGACCCATGCTTCGAAATTTAGAGAATTAAATGTTCTACAGGATAGAGTAGCTAACTTTTTTGTTCATATATAATTCTTTTTCGTTACGGTGCGATTAAGTGATAAAAAAATGGAATTGATTTTGTTGAGTTGTTTTAGGCTGTAGCAAAATAACGGAGAGTCCGATTTATGCCATCAATACCTCAAAATGTTCGTCTGGATATCTACATATAGCTACAAAAGCACACTATGCAAAATAAAAAATATACTCAACATGAACCGTTACTATGTTTTTTAATTTACGATTTTCCACATTTCATTATATGATATACCCAATCTCGAAAACTGGACGTGATGGAGAAAAACTGAAGACAATTTCAGAATCAGCACAACATTCTACGTTATAAAAAAAAATATCACAGTCTTCGAGATTTTTCTTGTAAACTAGTGTTATTATTCCGTAATTTTAATATGGATCGGTGGCTAAAAAACGGGTAGTTTAGTTAAGTCCAACAAAGTACTGAACAAGCAGCCAATTGTCCTGTCTTCATCGTCAACACCCAATTTCGGAACAACAAAGGGCTACGATACTGACAATGAGAGCTGTAGTGAGCTACCATTTCGGCTGACTAAATATAAAGAAAAAATTGATGAAACTGGTGAGAAGAAAAGAAAAAGGCGAAAATATGACAGCGACTAATTTACAAATGGGTTTTTTACTTTACTGGGGAAGAATCAGAACCGCAGCCGCTTTGTGTAATTTGCAATGAAGTGCTTGCTAACAGCAGCTTAAAACCATCACTTCTTCGTCGACACCTTGAAACCAAATGACACCTAAAACATTCGATATACAAGGATAAACCTGCCGAGTATTTTAGAAGACAATTGGCTTCTCTGGTAAAATAGATTGGACCATGGTGTCCAATGCTTCGAAATTTGGAGAATTAAATGTTCTACAGGATAGAATAGCTAACTTTTTTGTTCATATATAATTCTTTTTCTTTACGGTGCGATTAAGTGATAAAAAAATGGGAAAAATGCCAAAAAATTGGATTTTGTTGAGTTGTTTTAGGCTGTAGCAAAATAACGGAGAGTCCAATTTATGCCATCAATACCTCAAAATGTTCGTCTGGATCTCTACTTTTATGTCCATATAGCTACAGAAGCACACTATGCAAAATAAAAAATATACTGAACGTAAACCGTTACTGTTTTTTAATTTAAAATTTTCCACATTTTTGGGTATATCTCGAAAACTGGACGTGATGGAGAAAAACTGAAGAGAGTTTCAGAATCAGCACAACATTCTACGTTATAAAAAAATGATTAAAATTTGTAAACTAGTGTAATTATCTTGTTAAACTTCGCTAATCAATCTACCGGTATCAGACTACTAACTGCGAACAAACAATAAATCACACAAGGTTTTAAAATGTTTGTATGAAGCAAGGTGTCTGGTAACCTGCGCAACGCATTTCAATTAACTCGGGGAATTCCCCATGGGGTGTTTTTTTTACTGTAAATTAGGCCGAACCCGATTTGAAACTTCACTGTTAATTGTCTAAGCTTAGATACTCTTTAGATAGCGCACACATCTAAAAATAGTAAACTTTATTCAGGAATCTCTATCTTTTATTATCTCCTCTTTTACTTTACTACTACTTCTATAAAATTTCGTCATTATAATATTATTATTGCAAATCCTTTTGAAACAGCTCGCGCTTTTGATGTATGTTTCTCTTAATTAGATAATTAGTCTCAACGTATGTAAAAATATATATTTATTTATATTTTATTTGGTAACAAACAGTAACAAAGATAGTATAATAGTTCACAAAAATAAAATAAATTGTATATTCAATAAAAAAAACATGTTAATACGTATTTATGTTCCCAAATGATGACGTAAAATTTTTAAATATTACACCTTTTTTTCCTTTACCATTTTGTTTATAAACGATATTTTTTATCATTTTTAATCATTTTAATCTTCATCAACTTTTCATGGTGCATAATTATTTTTTAATAAACTTAAATTTTGCTCCCCATTTCATTGAATTTTCCAAGTTGTCCAGCAACCAAACGGCTTTTCATTTTCCAAATAACTCGGTAATCAACGCTGATTCCTCTTTTTTTGGCAATCGCTTCGACTTCATCGGCGATATTTTGTTGCGTCGTTCCTTTTACGTCAATAAAGTGGCAATCACTGCTCGCGTAATGAACGGAAATTGCTTTTCGGAAACCTTTCGTTAAATTTGGACCGGAACCGTGAAGAAGAATTGGATGGAAAAATGCCGTATCTCCTTTTTCCATAATCATCATCACTTTTGGTTTATCATCAAAACCGATTACTCCGTGGTAAGCTTTATTTGTTAATGCCTAAAAAGTACAAAAAGAAATATTTTATTATATTCAAAGTACAAACAAAGTTTTATTAAATAAATAATTGGTTTCATTAGCATATTTGTAGTAATTAATTTTGCTGAGTCATTTATTTTTGTTTGATAAGATTTTTGGGACTTACATCTGGATAAACATGCGCATATAATTCCAATTTATGTGATCCAGGAACAGCGAATAAACAACCATTTTTTTCATCAATTCGCTCCATTGCAGTCCATGATGCACATATTTTATCAGCTGGTCTAAATGGAAAATAATGCAAATCCTAAAAAGATTTTTTTTGTATTACCAAAAGAATTAATACTTAATTTTTTTACTTGATGTAATGGATGTTTTGAGGTAGCTTCATGCGCATCTGGTGGTTTATTAATCAACATAGAGTGAACAGCGGTAACATTATCGCCTATGATGCTAGCAACCACTTCAACAATTTTTGGATCTTTGGCGTAGTCGAAGAGGACATCATCGTATAAAAATTCTTGAATTTTATTGACTAGATACTCTCCTTTGGCTTTACCTTCTTTCAGCAAAGACAAATCCTTCATTACGGTCATACCACCTTTATCGACTTTGCCATCGCAGAAATCGATAAATCTTTGTTGGTATCTATCTAAATCGGCTGGGCTTACCAAACCACGGATAATTATGAAACCATTATCTTCGTAGAATTGTCGCTGTTCGTTGGTTAAAGCCCGATTTGATGCTGTATATTTAAAAACTGGGCAACTAAAAAAAATTGAAGCATTAACATTTTGAAATTGAAGCAGAGTATTGCCACAAAGGAGGACACACCATGGAGTTCGAGAAAACTAAAGTGCTAGCAAGAACCGGACATTATTTCCAAAGATTGACGAGAGGAACGATAGAGATTCATCGACATGGAAACAACATGAATAGAGAAGACATGGAAGATGCTAGTAAACTCAACGAAACCAATTAGACACTAATTAGTTATGAATTATCTTTTTTCGTACATATTTATTGTCAAACTTGTTTCTGAACATGGCATCCGAAACGTCAAAACTTTTTCCAAAGACGCACGGCTTAACCAGAAAGTTTCTAGTTCTTGGTCTAGTGATAGTGCTACTATTAGTTCTAGTTTTAGTTTAATTAACACCGGTCGTGAAAGTCTTCGTACTTATATTAACATTATTTTTTTAATCATTAAAAATAAATTTATATTTATTTATCTCAGTAAACAAATTCGATGACTTGCAAATAAAATAGTGCTAAATCATTCCTTTAAGGATATTTAATCGATAAATAAAAAAGGTACTTTACACTTGATAAACCAATTATTGTTGGCGCTATCAATAAATTGAATGAATATTTTAAATGGTTAAAATTGATGTCATTGAACAACAAAGTATTCAAAAATAAAAAGGTGCGCAAAAACACAATCAAAATAAAAAAATACTTATTTACTTTACATAACACAACCTAACCTAACTTTTTGAAACGATTCTAAATATTTTTATTTTAGTTTACTTACGATGCCATTATTTATTGTTCACTTAAACGTTAGTTATCTTTAAGTTGTTGCTTTGATGAGGTATTATCGTGAACTGAAGATGGTATCCGGGAATTTATTTGGTTATATTGGCCTCTCAAAGTTTATCTCAATACTGGAGAGAACGTCAGAGATAACAATTATTAAAACTTTTAAAATAACCTTCGATTTGAATTTGAAACTAATTCACTACACTTTTATGCAATAAAATAATTATTTTTATAAAAAAGTTTGCAATAAAATTGCGTAGGTATATAATAACATAATTAAAAAAATATTGGTTACAAAATTAGTAATTAAAGTAATTTATATAATGAGTCTTGAAAAAAAAGCTGTGTAATCTTTATTAGGTAATTAAGTGATCATTTTTGTGTATTTTAATTCGTGAAAATCCTCATTTAGCAATTAGACAAAAGACTAACAGTTTCAGCATAACAGAATAACCTAAAAAACTGCAAAGAGAATTATAAAAGGAAATTACTTATTTAAGAAAGTCCTTTACTATTAGAATTTAACATAAAGATAATTCAACATAACCTAATTATATGCCTTTAAAAATTAACATTTCCAAATTTTACAAAAGTGACATTTTAAAGTCATTTTCTGTCAATAAATTGACATTTAAAATGACATCTTTACATTTAATTTTTATTTTCATTCTAAATTCGTTGAAAGAAAACGTTTTTGGAACAATAACAAGGTTTGGTTTGATCTGTATATAGATATTTGTAATTAAATTAATGTTATCACATATAATCTACTTGAATATATATATATATACTTAAGTGTATCGGGTTTTTTGTTTAAACACATTAATTCAGGAATCTATTGAAAATTAAATTATCAAAACATATTAACATATCAAAATATTGATATGAAATAGATTTTTATAAATTAAAAATAGACGATCAATATCACTCATCTACAGTGTTGTTAAATACCCGGGTATTTATTTTCAAGGGTAAATTTCCTGGATATATACACAGGAAAAAATCGTGTCGTGTAAAAATTTTAGAGTAGTTGGTAAAAAGAATTAGAGTAAAAATTGTAATATCACATGGTAAAAATAACTCTAATGTACACTATATTTAATATTAATATAGAGTTCATATATTATTCACTTAATAGAGTAGTTTTTACAGTCCTCTAAAGGAGAGTTCTTTTTTACTTATGTTAGTGAAGTTATGTAATATATAAAACATTAAATTTTACACTAGACGTGTACTTTTCCTTCGGGTACTTCGTAGGCACCGCACTATTTTGCTCGGGATTACTCGTCGGTACCACGTGATCAACATGTGGTGTGATACAGCTAAAATTTAACGGTCATCTACTAAACGAGTCGGAACTCGATAGCGTCTCGAGACCTGATTTACGCGGTATAGAAAGAAAGAACGATTATTTTTATTGTAATTATGTTTGCCAAAATAAAACTTTCATGATGTGAAATTAGTGGAACTACCGGAAGATTTTAGATACGAGTTCCTTGTGAAGATTGGTAAGTATGTGCAACTTGGTGTAACTATACGTACAGGAAACTTATAGAAGACTCATTAGATGCAGTTTTCATGATGACTCGGTGGAAACTTTAAAATGAATTAAGTATGGTTATATATGTATATAAAAAGAATTTAATGTTTTTAAATTTAAGTTATAACAATATATTACAAGTAAAAATAAAAACAAATATTTTATAATTTTGATTTTTATTACAAACGTAAAACTTCCCTAAAAATACTCCACTTCCTATTAAAAATTAACACTAATAAGTGTAAGATACACACTATTTAGTGATATTTTGTCAATTAATAGAGTAAAATTAGAGCGAATTTTTAATAATTTACACTGATTAGATTAGAAATGTATCTAATTAGAGTCACGACAACATCTAGTTAGATTACATATAATACACTGTTATAGAGTAACGATTTTACACTATTTAATAAACACCATCTTCTCACTATTTAGTGTAAATTTTTAATCTATTCACCTACACTATATAGTGTACAAAAATAACTCTAAATAAATTGGACCGATCTGAACCATGTTTTAGAGTTGATTTTTACTCTATATTTTTTCCTGTGTACCCGGGGGTATTTACCCAAGATGGGTATTTAGAGGTATTTATAAAATTTAATTTAAATTGAGTTGTTGGCAGTTTTACAAGCACTTCAAGAATGCAGAGTCGATTATCGATACACCAAACATGTTGATAACATCTACAAGAATGCTACAATGACGGTAAAATTGCATAAAAGTACTGAAGAGAGTAGAAATAGTAAAGTACTGAATAAAGTACTAAATAAAGTACTGATTGTGAGTAAAATAAAGCGATACAATGTTGAACCCAAATTGTTCATCACAGTCCTGGAGAATACATTTAAACAACTGGATTTGATCCAAAAAAGCATCAACAAAATACCTAAGTATTTTACGCTACGTGGACGATATAGTTCTTATTTTGGATAGGCTTGGAGAGATGAAACTAATGGCGAAGGACTTAAAGGAGGTGTGTGCAAGAGTCGGGCTAAATATTAACGTAAAGAAATCAAAATTTATGACAAATCTTGTTCCCAAGTGTACCATCAACATTGGGGATAATGAAATTGAGAGGGTTGACAGATGTGTATCTTGGCCATAAGGTTCGTGTATCGAGAGATAATGAAACAAGCGAACTGAACAGCCTACAGGAAACTTAGAGACATCTTCAAGAGCGATATATTTGAAAAGAAAGGCTTTCAATCAATGCGTGTTTCCGCTTATGACATAAGGCTCCGAAACATTAACATTAACGGTAGCCACTGCCAGGAGGCTCAAAGTAACGCAAAGACCGAAATGAAGACCTATGAAAAAGAACTGGTGCAAAAGATGTGGTCAACATTGTGGCAAAGCTCAACAATTGGATTCAGACAGCACAGAATAGAATCGAATGGAACAGATATGTCCAACAATGGGTTGATGATAATAATCATAATAACTTGATCTAATCTAAATTGCGACAGATTCGTCTGATGATAATACGTCTTTGATCGTTGACAATTCCTCGTCTTCAACGTACATTTCATCATCTTCCTCTTCATTCTTTCGGAATTTTTTTCTTTTATACGTACCGTTTGGGTATTTACCCTGGGGCGGGGTAAATACCCGGATAAATACCCATTTTCTAAATACCTACCCGTCAGGTATTTACCCAGCGCCCAACACTGCTCATCTATCATTTTATGCAAAATGCATCTTTTTTATTTACTGGATAACCGGGCTGGTATCTTATTGACAACACGTTACAGAAACATCTGGCACAAATCCAGTAGTTAGCATGTCTTAATATAACGGGTGCAATGAAATCTTATCCGATGGCTGCTCTTGAAGTGTTGGTCTCACACCTCTTCAATTATACATACAACATGAGGCAGCTTTAAGCAAAAATATATACAATCAGAGAATATAATAAGAAACAGAACATAAGAGAGCTATTATATGTCTCCCACAATTTGTTTTTTCGATGTTTAACGAACATTTTCCCGCAAGGCAAAAAAGAATTAGAATCTCCAAGAGAGGTGTAATGAGTTTAGTTCATTTAAATAAGTTATAGTTAGGCAACTTAGATTACTCAATGTAAACGGTTCACAGAAAAGACTGAATAAAGACAGTTCATGCTCAATGCTCAACCGTTGTTTCTTTAACATCTCTCTCTTTTACATGATATAACAAGAGGGGACAGTAAACTTCCGCAATCCAAGTTGGAGAAGAAATCCTTAGTTGAATCATTAGGCATGATCGCTGCAACTAAAAAAGATATAGCTTTGTGCGAAATATATAAAGTATGCAAACAAGAGTATACAGGTGTCCCGTATCTTCCGCATCAGAGTATTAACGGTTGAAGCATGCATTATTCTAAAGCGAGTTTTCTAATAAATTTTTTTCGAAATGTTTATAATAACCGCACGGGAACTGTTTAAAATTCTCCGCTTTTGTCCAATAACAGACGATTTTGATTCACGAAAAAAGTTTATTTCTCTTTGCGTGTCGAATCTATTGGTAAGTACACGTGGGAAACGTGTTTTGATCGGCGCGGCGGTCCGGCCGAAGATTGGGCCGATTACCTGAATCTGATTTACGATTTGCCATTGGACGTCGAAAAACTGTTCCTGTGCGGTTATTATAAACATTTCGAAAAAAAATTTATTAGAAAAATCGCTTCAGAATAACCTACATATCCTACAACCGACAGAATAGTGATGCTATAAATAATGCTAACAAAAAAAATGTGGGAAGTAATCAACAAGGAAAGAATAAATAAAAAAAGAAAACCACAGGATGATGCAGGTCTAAATGTTGCTGGTTTCAAGGAGTATTATGCAACCGAAATACAATCGTTACTTGCTGCTATTGGCATGCCATTTATATAGCCTGAAGAGTATATAAAAAAAATGAACAAAAATAATATCAACTCTTGTTTCTTTGCATCGATTGATGATCAAGAGATAGTAAGTGTTGACTTCTCCTATTATGAAAAAGGTTGTCAGAGAAATTGCTCCAGCACTAGCTATAATTTTCAATAAATGTGCAGAGGAACGAACATTTCATACTAAACTGAAGGTTGCAAAAGTCACTCCTATATATCCATAAAAAAGGGGATGATCACAAATACAAAAACTATAGGCCCATAGCCCTGCTGCTAGTTATTTCTAAGATTCTTGAGGAGCTTGTTAAGTGTCGCCTTGTTCGTTACTTAAGTAAAAATAATATCTTGGTGGAAGATCAGCATGGTAAATCAACTGCCACCGCAATTATTAGAATCATCAAAGATCTTACGGATGCCCATGACAATCATGAGAAATCTAAAATAATTTGTTGTGATCTGAGTCAAACTTCATTTAGATGGAGTGGTGATCGCTCGAATGTGATGGAGTGTAAGTATGGTGTGTGTGAAGGATACTTGGACCACTATTATTTATTAGCTACAGTAACAACCTACTAAAAAGTGTAGAGCGGATGACACCTCTTTTGTTATACCGGGACCGTCAAATGGGGCTCTGGATGAAAAGAGCACTGAGACTTTGGACTCAGCTTCTGATTGGTTACAGGCTAACAGATTGTTATTGAATAATGAAAAAACACAAGTTATGAACTTTTTCCACAAAGGAGATAAAAGCAACATAAAGTTACTAGGACTTTTGTTACTAGGCGCCTAGCGAGTGTGGTATACGTTCTAGGGTACTAAATAGATGATTCCGTCTCACTGTACCGAGGTCGCATGCGGCCGAGGCACTGGATCAATATCATAATACAAGGTTACTACAAAAGATTCATTCGTTTTTAAAACGCTACATATATTCAAGAGTATAAAGGTGGCTACACACATGACTGCTAACTTGACAAGCATCCATGATCAGTCTTTTTGTAGAAGCATGTAAAATTTCCCTTCGACACCATACGATACAAGTATGCTTGAACAAGCGCCAGTTTGCGTTTGGACTATGTCAAGCTTGGACGACGATGCGCTCGCACTGGCTGCTTTTTGCCTTGTCCATAAGAGGAAAACGCGGAAGAAGAAACGTGACATATGGTGTAAGGAGTGGTTATTCAAAAGAAAAACCTACTCCCATATTAATTTACTGAGTGAATTGAAGATATGTCCACGTGACTGGCATAATTATTAAAAATCCCTACGTCTGGCCACACGTCAAACAATGTGCTTGGTACACACGCGCGGTTTCGTTTGCGCAAGCTTGCATGATTAAAATTCAATCCATCATCAAGCGAATTGTACAAGCAAAATGTTTGTGCAAAATTATCCTACAAACGCTAAAGCATACTTGTACAAAAAGATTGATCATGCATACTTGTCAAGTTTGCAGTTACGTGTGTAGCCACCTTTTTACACTAACAGACATCAGCGATATATCAAAATAATCGCAAACTCTCCAAATTTTAGGAACAGGGAACCTCCTCATGGGATTATGTTCACAGATACCTGAATGAAGAACTTCCGCATTGCTAGATTAACTATGTTGGTGCGAATGACCTACCTTTATTTGCTTGGTCACCTAGGTCACCTGATTAAGGATCTTGTTTACTGCCAAACACATTAAAAGAATTCAGGGAAACGATTAATACTGCAGTGATGTCAATTGACAGGATGAAGTTACAAAATATATGGAAGGAATTGAACTATTGGCTAGCTAGATACATATCGTGTGACCCATAGAACATTTTTGAGTATACAAACTTCGAGAGTTACAACTATAAATTAGAACAAAGTGTCACAATTTAATTGATTTAATGGTAACTACTTTGTCGTCTATGGACCGTCTAGTATTTAGTCAATATCTTGATTGTTCATTGTCCTTAAGAAATTAAATTATAGTCTCTATATCGCTGCTTTGGACTGGAAGTGTTTCAACACAATGGCTGTAGAGATCTGTTACCAAAATCCGCAAATTCTTCATTAAATTTATAGCAAAAACTGCTCATAAACCGGTTGGATATCGTGACTAGCACACTCAAAAGTAACTTTGCATGTCTTGTTCGACCAATACTACCAATACTTCGATCAACTATAAATGTCAAGAATCACCAACATTTAGGCATAAATTATCAATCAATCAGGAGGGGGAATTGATGCGTGGAGGACGGCGTTATGAGTTAATTACGTGGAAAATCCCGGGTTTAAGTTGGGAATGTGTTCATCTAACTCAACTCTGTTGCAAAGTTGGTGTTCTTCTGCGTCGTCTGTCATCGTCTATGCAATGAGATCCTTCCTTCGCTTGACTTTCGCTCGCTTGTAGTTATATTATTTTATGTTCTGGGGTCTTTCAAGGTTTTTCATCATTCAAGGTTGTAATCATTCCAAGAGTCGATTTTCAGTTGAAATACGGAATAGTTTCTATGTCAATGTTGCTCGCGGCAGTAAAAGCATTAGTAGTGGCGTATTATCAAAGTTTACATTGGATAATGAGGAAGGTTTTCTGGAGTACAGCAATTTCATTGTTGCAAGTTATTTCAAGATGACTTAAGCTCTCCCTCTACCTTGATGACTTCTTTTCGAAGTTGGATCAATAATAAAAGAGATCGATTCAATAATAAATGTCAAAAATGGCAGAAGATAATCCATCGTTTTAAGATTTATAAGACTGACATTAAAAAAAAATATAGTCACCAATTACTTCAAAATTTTAAACTTCAATTAAATATTTCATTGTCACTGATCAATAATATTTTACAATTTCTTATCATTTTATTAATTTTACATTTATTTAAAAATGGAAGAATCTGAGGTAGAAAGTGTTATATCCTTATTAAAAACTTTTTTCGTTGATTTTTTTTTTGTTACTTAGTACACAGATTACAATAAAGACGATGAAGAAGCGGATACTCAAACTAATACCCAACTGATTACTGCGACTAGCGGAATAAATCAAAAAGGGGAATATTCAGATGAAGATAGTTTCCAACGAGAATTAATGGATAATTTATTTAAAAGATTTTTAGAGGCAGCCGATAAACCGGAAGATACTTTCACCGAAGGAGCGTGCCAAAAAAGTGCAACTTGGGGATTTACAATCACTCTGGATGAAGAACCATCGATTATCCCAGAAGAAAAATCCACTCAGTTACCGTCAAGTTATCCGTACGGGTGTGATGATAACTTATATTTTGAAAAAAGCGAAAGTGAAACTGATCTTTCTGATATTGATCTTGAAGAAACAGAAATTACAGAAAGTTCTATGTCTGGATTAGATACTACTGTTGTTCCATTTGTAATTATTTATATGAAATCTAAATTTATATGTAATACATATTTTTTCTTAGAGTTTAATGTGGACTTATGGAATGAATACAAGAGTACCTTTTATGAATTTAACTGAAGGTGGTATACACAATGTATTTTTTACAGCTAGTCATGAAGCAGTTTTGTATGATTATGTGAAAAAAGAAATGATTCTCCTTCAAGGACATGTAATTTTTTTTAATATTTTCTTTATTTACTTATATATTATTCAGGATATAGGATCCACTAACACGACAAACAAAGAATAATAATACAAAAGAACTCATTTACACTTTAAGGAACTAAAAGTACCTATAATCAACAATGATTAATAACAAAACATAAATGACATTCAAAATAAAATTCTCGCCTTTTTGGATTTTTAAAGCGATATAAAGATTTGGATATATAACAATTAAGTTGTTGTTTAAAATATATTTCAAAACTTCACAAGGTGTATCACCTGGGTTTAAAAGTTTTGAAATAAAACTCAACTCTTCCCCCAGCTGAATACCGTAATTGTCTTTTCTATTTTTATGTGTAAGAGTAATCTCCAAATTCATACTTTGTTTTATGACGTCCTCATTTTTTTGGTCGGCAAGATATGTTAATAACGCTCCTCTATTGAATGAATCGCTATGTCAAGTAAATTAAAATATACATCAACTTTAAATTTTTGTGACGAATCTTGTATGGGGTTGTCAAAAGTTTTTATTATTGAAATTGCGTTTTCGACGTTTTAATCTGATTTCTGTGAAGTTTGGTTGTACGTTTACTGATTTTGCTAATTCAGGCGCTATTTGTAATAACTAACTGTTCTTTGAAAATTTTGGCAGATGCAACCCTTCACAATAAAAATAATTTTTCGAAATTACACTTGAGTCTGGCCAAATATTCTCAGGGTTTGCACAGAGAGGACCCATAGCTTACATAACCCTTATAATGTTTTTTTTTAAATTATACAAGATGGTCAGAAATTTGCGCCGACTTTCCCTATCTCAAAAAGTCGAAAACTTCATTTTTTGGCAACCCCAATTTTTAATTATTTAATTTAATGAGTTTTACCTCATCCGTCCAAATTATTTTTTCCAAAAAATCTTCATCTTGTGTTTTAATCAACATAAATTCACAAAAATCAATTCTCCTTTGATCGTCACCTGGCCTTAAACTTTGTGCCAATGAGTAAGAATAAGGGCGAAAGTTTTGTTTTTTTTTAAATCCTATGATTGCTTTTCTCAGATATTCCCAAATCTCTTTTAGCATCTTATAATGAATTTTCAGGATAGCTCTGAAGTACTGTAATTTCCCCAGAACTGTAATTTCATTTTCTTCGTTACCTACGATTGGTTTAACTCTTTTGGGCTTTCTAACAAACTGGCCATAGGTTCTACAATTAAACTAAATCCTAAACGGAACATGATTAATACTTTTGCTACGCAAACATCAAATTATTTGTTTTAATACGATAGTTTTTGTTTCTTCGGTTTGGTTGCTTCAAACCAAAGCCAACTAATAATTTTAAATTTACTAATAATCAAGAAAATTTAATTTTTTTCAAGTTTCTGCGAAAGCCATACATTTTAGATATGGGCATGTAATGACAAAGTTCCCTTATTTTTCAACGTATAATACGCTGGTGAAGAAAAAAATTGAGGAAAAATGAAGTTTTCGACTTTTTGAGATAGGGAAATTCGGCGCAAATTTTTGGCCACCCTGGATAATTTTTTAAAATACTTTTCAAGGGTTATGTAAGCTATGGGTCCTCTCTGTGCAAACCCTGAGAATATTTGGAAAGACTCGAGTGTTATTTCGAAAAATTATTTTTATTGTGAAAGGTTGCAAAAATTTTCGAAAAAACTGAACTAATTCAAAAATGGTGCACTTTAGACATATGATGACTTATATCAAATTATATTAAAATTTTGTGGGGATCTCGAAAATTCTATAAAAATTGGTACATTCCATTTAAAATAACGAAGTTGGGTTTCATTTCCAGTATAACCGGAAGTTGGAGAAAACTGAAAATATTATAACTGAAACGAGCACCTTTTCAGCACAATTTTCAGAAAAATAGTGCCAGTAGTTTGCCACATACATATAGACTCAGCTCGTCGTGACAAACCCTATACATTATATCTAATTATTGTAATGCATACGAACTGATAATTTAACTTCTACTTTAGTATTATATCCATGAGAACCCAGGAAAGACGTGTCTTCTACAATACCAAAAAGTGACGGGACAAAAATTTAACGGGCCTGATCGCATTTATCCTACTTTCCCATCTCGCAAAACATACAGGTTTTAATGTTAAATTAGTCAGATGTTTGACAGGAATAGACCATCTATTAGTCGATGCAGAAAAAAAATACAAGGTTTGTATTATTCCAAAAAATTTGTTTATTTCTATATTTGATTCTGCAGCATTATTTAAAACAATCTTAATGGAGTGACAGGAGCAAGGAGCAAATAACATTCTCGGATTTATATTTGAAATATGTTTTTGTAGTCCGTTATTCTTACCTTTCATATTGACTCCATTGTCGTAGCCCTGTCCTCTACAATTATAAACGTCTAAAGGCAGTACTTTTATTGTGTCTAAAAATATAGATGCCAGACCGACTCCTGTAGTGTCAGTTACATCAATAAAATCAATAAAATGTTCTTCCACCAAATATTTTCTTATTATTATTTTTTCTTTTTTAGTTTCCATGATTACAGAAAAAAATTCGGCTTTTTTGCCATTTTTATAATTTTCTTTTTAGTCATTTCTGCCAATAAACCTACTAATTCATTTTGTATGTCTTTACTAAGATCATGAACCTGTGTCTCTTTAGACGTTATACGTCGAAGATGTTTTTTAAGGAGTGGATCATATAAACCTAGACATTCAATAAATTTTAAAAACACTTCGTTATTTTTTTCAAAGAGTACATCAGATTTTCCTCTAAATGGCAAATTTAATTCAGTTAGTGTAAGAATAACTTCTGATAGACGTGATTAATAGCAGTTCTTTATGCTTGGGAGGAACATGGTTTCGGCCGCCCCTAATTTTGGCCGCCTACTTCGCTTGTACGCAGCGCCACCACTGGGTGTACTACTGGCTACTGGTGTACCTTGAACATAAAAGGTTTGCGGAACACTGCTGTAAACAACCACTACACTGCACTACCGTTGCTACAAAAATGACACGTGTATACACGTGTTTCATTAATAATGGGAAATATTTTAACTGGAGATACTATGTGTCAAATAATGACCATTGACCAAAAATAGCCTTATACAAAATCGCACCGTTTTCGAGATGAAGGTCTTCAAAGTTCCTGAAAAAAAATCGTTTTTTCCATCTTTAAGCTAATCTACTTGTACGATGAAAATAAAATTTGGCATGGCGATTTAGTATTATTACATGCTTCTTATGGTGGAATTTTCCGAAATCAGCAAAATTACAGCAAGGAGAAAAAAATATCCCCTTGTGTTAACACCAATAGAACTTTTTTGATTAACAAGCGCGAAATTAGCATCACCTAATAGGCCAGTTAAAATGCTAAAAATAATTTCCTCTTGTAGAAACTTCGTGTTATACTTGGTTTTCGAGAAAAACGAGAAAGTTCGGAAGGATTTGTGACTAAAAATAGTTTAAACAGCAAAAATCCGGGTAGGCCAACACTCAAATTCTACGTCACTGGCGGAATTAATAATGAACAAAATTTAAAAAACAACTTATGACAAATAAATTGATTATTACATTTATTTACAATATCACGATAGGAAATTCCACTTTAATCATTTCTGCATATCATTTAGATAAATGATAATGCGTTCATGGTATTAAGTGGGTACGACATATTAAAAATAAGTTCAGGTATTGTGTATTTGGCTCTGTCAGTTTATGCATTTGTTGATTTTCTTGTTTGTTTCTCATAGTTGACAAATTTAGCAAGTTGATTAAGTGAAAATGCCACGTCATAACAATTTTTCTAATCTTGAAATACGAGATATGCTTTGTGTTTATGCACAAGAAAATTATTCCTGCCTTGCTGCTGCTCGAAGATATCAAGACATGTATCCAAATAGAGTTCAACCTAATCGCAAAACTTTCAGTAACATTTTTAGTCGATTAGGAGAGACTGGACAATTTAAGCCCAAAAACAATTTTGCGATCAGCACTATATTGACAGTACGATTCGCAATAAAAATGGACGATTCGTCGTTAAAATTCCATTCAAGGATTCTTTAGACAAACTAGGTAATTCTTATAACATGGCATTAAATAGATTTACTAATTTAGAACGTAAATTAAATGGACATGCTTCTCTTAGAAAAGCATACACTATTACTATACTAATTACTATACTAATTCATGCTTGAGTACGAAAATTTAGGTCACATGATTAAGATAAACAAACCAGAAGTAGCAGATTATTCCTATTACATGCCATATCATTGCGTTCAAAAGGCAGACAGCTTAACTACTAAACATAGAGTGGTTTTCGATGCATCAGCTAACACTTCAAGCGGTTATAGCATAAATGATCTTCAAATGATAGGTCCTGTGATTCAGGCCGATTTGTTTTCTATTTTGATTAGATTTCGCCAACATAAGATTGCAGTGACTTCTGACGTCTCAAAAATGTATAGGCAGATACTTATTGATCCCAGTCAAAGATCATTATAAAGAATTTTATGGCGAGATGGTGCAGATAAAAATGTTTCAGTTTACGAATTAAACACCGTTACATATGGAACAGCAGCAGCATCTTATTTAGCTATTAGATCTTTATTACAAACGGCTCTTGAGAATGAAAACTTACAAGAGGCATCATTGAGAATTAAAAGATACTTTTATGTCGATGATTTGATAACAAGTTTCGATTCTGTAGAAGAAGCTACAAATATTTGCGAACAAATAACAAACATTTTAAGATCTTACGGTTTCGAATTGGCAAAATGGAATAGAAACATAATGAAACGTTTAGTGATATACTTACCTTGGATTCCACGTCAAATATTATTTCTTTGGGAAACGATCAAGTTACGAAAACACTTGGTCTGTTTTGGGCACATGAAAGGGATAATTTATCTTACAAAATAAAACTTAAGCACTATAAAGACGTAAATAAGAGAACGATATTATCTATCATTGGTCAAATATTCGATCCTCTTGGTCTACTTAGTCCTATTACAGTCAAAGTCAAAATACTCCTTCAGAAATTATAGGAAGCAAAGGTTACTTGGGATGAATCACTTCCCATGGAAATTTATTCAGATTGGGTAGGATTTTGTGCCACATTAAAGGTTATTGAGAATATTGAAATTCCTAGATTTATATTAGGAGAATGCAAACAAAAAATTCAAATTCATGGATTTGCAGATGCTCCCGAGAAAGCGTATGGTTGTTGCATTTATTTGAGGTCCGAAAATGGTGATTACGTAAACACTAGATTACTTTGTGCAAAATCAAAAGTTGCACCACTGAAAATAACCACTATTCCTAGATTGGAATTATGTGCATGTTTACATTTAGCGAAAATGTTAACCATTGTGAAGGGGTCGCTGACTTTAGATTTACATAAAATTTATCTTTGGACAGATTCAAAAATCGTATTGACGTGGTTGAATTCAAATGCAAGCACTCTAAAAACATTTGTAGCAAACAGAATAATTGAGATTCAAGCTGTTACAAATTTGGATCAATGGCATCATGTTAAATCTAAAGACAATCCAGCTGATTTATTGACGGGAGGATTAAATGGAAACGAACTAAAGGATTTAAAATTATGGTGGAATGGACCGCGTTGGTTAGAATTCGACAGTCAAGCATGGCCATTGCAGACGAAAGATCATAACATTGATAATTTACTAGAATTAAAAGTTCAGTCTCATACCGTTCTTGTAGGCAATGTAGAAGAATTTTTAATATTTCAGAGATTTTCAAACTTACGAACATTACTGAGAGTAATTTCCTATGTGAAACGATTCATATATAATTGTCAAAAAATTGCAGATGATCGCATGAAAAATAATATTTCCGTAGAAGAGTTGAATGCAACTATGAATACATTATTGAGAATAGCTCAACGAGAAATGTTTAGAATGAGAACGAACAATTGCAAAAACGAGATGAAATCCATATCAAGAGCAATTTGTTGGGATTAAATTCATTCATTGATAATGAACAAATTCTAAGGGTTGGAGGTAGATTGCAGCAATCTGATTTCGTATATGAAAAGAAACATCCAGCACTTTTACACAGCAAACATGCATTCACAAAGTTGATCTTTCAAACTGAACACTTAAACTTGTGTCACGCTGGTCCTCAGTTGTTACTAGCTAGCACCAGAGAAAAATATTGGACAATTGGTGGACGCAATTTGGCAAAGCAAACAGTTAAAAAATGTATAACTTGTTTCAAAGCATCACCTTCCACATCTACGCCAATTATGAGGCAATTGCCTAAAATGAGAATAACTACATCTTTTCCGTTTGAAATAGTGGGTATAGATTATGGAGGTCCATTTTCTATTAAAAATAAAGAAGGCAGGCGAGCAAAAGTTTCTAAATGTTATTTGTGTTTATTTATATGTTTTACGACAAAGGCGGTTCACCTTGAATTGGTAACGGACTTAAATACAAATGCTTTCATCTCCACATTAAAAAGATTTATCGCACGCAGAGGCAAACCCAAGATTATATACTCTGATAATGGTACTAATTTTCATGGCGTTTATAATGAGCTAAAGAGTTTGAGGGATTTTCTTAAATTGAGTTCGGATGAGTTGTCAAAAGAGATGACAAATCAATTTATAAGTTGGCAATTCATACCTCCTCATTCACCGCATTTTGGTGGTATTTGGGAGGCGGGAATTAAATCGGTGAATCCATCCTTAACTCTAGACCCCTTTCTCCTCTTTCCGAAGATCCATCTGATGATAATCCGTTAACGCCGGCTCATTTTTTGATTGGAAGAAGTTTTACATCTATTCCTGAAACGGATATTACAAATATTAACACTTCAAGACTTACCATTCATAAACGTATTGAGCAGACCCGACTGCACTTTTGGCGACGTTGGTCAAAGGAATATATTGGAGAGCTACAGCAACACCTGAAATGGAAGAAAAATGGTTCAAGATTAATCAATATTGGAAGAATGGTACTACTAAAAGAGGACAACCTACCACCCCTTCAGTGGAAACTTGGAAGAATAGTGACAACCCATGCTGGAGCAGATGAAGTGGTGAGAGTGGTATCAGTTGATTACCTTATTACTTACCTTATATCAATCGTTTGGTTTTCTATATTTGAAAGTCTTTACCCTTTCAAAGGGGGGATGTTTATGTTAAGATTACACATTTTATTTTATTACGTTGGCTGCTCTTAGAAGAGTAGTAGCAGAACGAACCGTGTTCGCATGTTATAACAAGCATTTTGTATTAGCAACCTTCTTCCTAAAATAAAGTTAATTATTTTACAAATAACAAAAGCATCATTAAAAACATTCCATTTCTGGGGCCATATGAAATCACTGGTATACTCACAAGAAATAAATAATCGTCAGGAACTATGGCAGCAAATAGTTAATTCTGCTCATTTTGTTGCCAACCACCCAAACATATTTTTTAAAGTTAGAAGATCCTTTAGCGAAAGAATTACTAAACTTATTGAAATTAATGGGGGTCACATTGAACATTTGTTAAGTGTTTCTTAAATTTTGTACATTATAAAATAAACAATAAATAAATAATAATAAGTGTTTCATTTAACTTTAAATATCTCGAAAAATAATAACTTAATCGTTATGAAGGGTGAACATAGTATGTTATTTACATAGGAAGTATTGAAGAATCGAAAAATTGTGCTAAAATGACAATTCTAATTTTTTAAAGATAAAAAAAACGTTTTTTTTTTTCTGGAACTTTGAAGACCTTCATCTCGGTGCGATTTTGAATACGGTTATTTTTGGTCAATGGTAATTATGTGACACGAAGTATCTCCAGTTAAAATATTTCCCATTATTAATGAAACACCCTGTATAGCGTCGATTCCTTAAAATTATGACTTAATAATTAAGTTTTTGTTTTTATTTAAAGCAAAATTCAATTACATCAGCTTCGATGGATTTAAAAGGAAAATATTTAGTAACCGCCGATTCTGGTCCGGAAAATAGCATAATAGTGTGGCGAATGAGGAAATAGTAAAAATTAAATACCTTTTAATTCATTTCTTTCATTACCTATTTTTAAGTAAACCTGTATGCACAATTTTTAACGCAAATCCAGGAAGTGGGACAGCAATTTTAACGATGAGTCCAAACGGAAAATACATCGTTAGCGTAACCAGCGATATGCCAGCAATTATAAAATTATGGGTTTGGTCCAGCGGATCAGATCAACCCGTTGATACTTATTTAACAGATCCAGCTTATGGAAAACCAGTTGGGGTTGTTTTTAATCGAACAGTACAAGAACGATTTATGGTTACGTTTAAAAGACAAATCGTTTTTATGAAATACGTTGGTTATTAAATTTTAAATTTTCTCAACAATATTTAAAAAAAAATTATTGTTTTAGCATCTTGTTAACAAAAGTTTTATTGAACCGAGGATCCCTGAAATTCGCAATAAAAACCGATGGGGAAAAATCACCGATAGTTGTTATTTATTGGAATGTCACGAATGTTTCGCTTCGACTACGGAAGGTTACGTTTTAGTTTTGGGAAATACTGTATATAAGAAAGAATTCAATATTGACGATGAGTACGATGCTAGAAAAATTTTTATTACCGGTGTTAAAGTGACAGTGTTTCGATTAAACACCATTAGTTCGTCTGATGGGTAAGTATTGCTTCAATTAATTTCAATTAATTAACTTTTTTTATTTTCAGCGTTGTTGTTACTGGTGATGCAAAAGGCAACATTCGTTTTTACGATCGTTACGTCCGCTTGTTGTACTGGTGTCAAAGCTTTCAATTACCCGGTGTTCACAAGATCAGTTTCAATCGCGACCCGAGAAATTATTATCTCGCCTCACCCATTCAACGAACGCCTTCTGCTACATTCGAAGGAAAAATTATGATCGATTATAGCAAAGATGATAACGATGTTAGCGAACAATATGAGATTCTTTACAAAAATATGGTACCATCGGATGCAACCATACATCGGACGCCTTTTATAGTGAGAGATTTTATTGTTGGTATTAAAAAAAGCGATTTTATTTAGAAGAAGTATTCATGATATGTTATATTTTAGCAACCGCTGATGGCAATATGGTTAAAATCGATTATATCAATAACGAAGCTGAAGAGCTTTTACTTACTACGGAAACTCCGGTTGCTGGAATTGATGTTCATTCTGAAATGTATGACAATTTTTATGAATTCTTTTACGCACAAAATATCATTATATACTCAAAATAGACGTAATAATAATAAATTTTTCATCAATGTAATGATAACTCTAAAACTAATAACTATGAAAGTTAGAGTTATTAATAAAAAATGCTTCAAACGAACCATAAAGTCATAATTAATAATCTATTACACCTCAATTTTATCAGTTTTCTAGTTAGAATTCAAAAAACACCGAAACCTTAAAGTAGACGTGTTTGGTATTAATGTAGAGTGGTAACATTGAAAGCTGAAACGGTTGTGGTTAGTGTTATGAACAAAATTGTTCATAATGGATCACAAAAACATAATAATCTATAACCTATTTGAACCTAAGGACCACACTCTCAAAATAGATGTATTAGTCATCATTACAGGATGGTAACTCTAAAACTAATAAAGATGGAAGTTAGAGTTATTAATAAAAATTACTCCAAACATACTAGAAAGACATAATAGATAATCTATTTTTACTCAATACTATGAATATTTTAGTTAGAACCCAATAAGTACCAAAAACATAAAATATACGTATTTGTATTAATGTAGGGTGGTAACATTAAAACTTAAAACGACTGAGGTTTGAGTTATGAATAAAAATTGTTCGTAACGGACGGTAAAAACATGATAAATAACCTATTTAAACCTAAGTGTATAAATTATTTAATTAGAACCAAACAAGGACCAAAATGTCAAAATAGACGTATTTGTTTGAATACAGGTTGGAAACTCTAAAACTAATAACTATGGAAGTTAGTTATTAATAAAAATTGCTCCAAATGAAGCATAAAGACATAATCTATTTTAACTCAATTCTATCAGTTTTATAGTTAGAACCCAAAAAGTAACGAAATCTTAAAATAGACGTATTTGTCATCAATACAGGATGGTAACTCTAAAACTAATAACTATGAAAGTTAGAGTTATTAATAAAAAATGCTTCAAACGAACCATAAAGTCATAATTAATAATCTATTACACCTCAATTTTATCAGTTTTCTAGTTAGAATTCAAAAAACACCGAAACCTTAAAGTAGACGTGTTTGGTATTAATGTAGAGTGGTAACATTGAAAGCTGAAACGGTTGTGGTTAGTGTTATGAACAAAATTGTTCATAATGGATCACAAAAACATAATAATCTATAACCTATTTGAACCTAAGGACCACACTCTCAAAATAGATGTATTAGTCATCATTACAGGATGGTAACTCTAAAACTAATAAAGATGGAAGTTAGAGTTATTAATAAAAATTACTCCAAACATACTAGAAAGACATAATAGATAATCTATTTTTACTCAATACTATGAATATTTTAGTTAGAACCCAATAAGTACCAAAAACATAAAATATACGTATTTGTATTAATGTAGGGTGGTAACATTAAAACTTAAAACGACTGAGGTTTGAGTTATGAATAAAAATTGTTCGTAACGGACGGTAAAAACATGATAAATAACCTATTTAAACCTAAGTGTATAAATTATTTAATTAGAACCAAACAAGGACCAAAATGTCAAAATAGACGTATTTGTTTGAATACAGGTTGGAAACTCTAAAACTAATAACTATGGAAGTTAGTTATTAATAAAAATTGCTCCAAATGAAGCATAAAGACATAATCTATTTTAACTCAATTCTATCAGTTTTATAGTTAGAACCCAAAAAGTAACGAAATCTTAAAATAGACGTATTTGTCATCAATACAGGATGGTAACTCTAAAACTAATAACTATGAAAGTTAGAGTTATTAATAAAAATTGCTCCTTATGAAGCATAAAGAAATAATTGATAATCTATTTTAACTAAATTCTACCAGTTTTACAGTTAGAACCCAAAAAGTACCGAAATCATAAAATAGGCGCGTTTGTTATTAATGTATAGGGTGGTAACGTTAAAACTTGAAACGATTGAGGTTAGAGTTATGAATAAAAAATGTTCATAATGGACCGCAAAAACATAATACATAACCTATTTGAACCTAAGAATGATAATTATTTAATTAAAATCAAACAAGGACAACAATCTCTAAATAGACGTATTTGTCATCAATACAGGATGGTAACTCCAAAACTAATAACGATGGATGTAAGAGTTATGAATAAAAATTACTCCAAACGAACCATAAAGACATAATAGATTATCTATTTTAAACCAATTCTATCAGTTTTATAGTTAAAACCCAATAAATATCGAAATCGTAAAATAGATGTGTTTGTAATCTATACAGGATGGTAACTCTAAAACTAATAACTATAGAAGTTAGAGTAATTAATAAAAATTCTCCAAATGAACCATAAAGATATAATTGATAATCTATTTCAACGCAATTTTATGACTTTTATAGTTAGAACCCAATAAGTACCAAAATCATAAAATAGACGTATTTGTCATCAATACAGGATACACGGTAAAAAATAACTAACATGTTTCCAGGAGGTCCATTAATTTTTCGAGTTAATATTTCAATCGGTTGTTAGAGCAAATTTTAGAGATTAAATGAATCTATGGTAAAGTGAATTATTAACTCTACAATGAGTGAACACAGATTACATATTAAATCTCGGCAGAGTTGAAATTATCTATACAGATTTTACAATGCACTCGAAATTGTGTTTGGTATATTCTTAATAGAATGCTACAATCAACGTAGATTTTTTAGCAATATACTCAAAATTAGATTTAGGTATATTCTAAATAAAGTTATAAGAAAATTGACAGTGTTCACAAAATAGGTTTATTATTGTAAAAACTGAACAATCGAATAAATAATTGCATTTATGCTATATTAATATATACTAAGTCGCTATATTTAAGTAAGCATACTGAAATTATAAAAAAAATCATATGCAGGTGTCATTTTTAATGCAAACACTTAAACTACAAACACAAAAACTTAAACTAAAAAATATATCCATGTTTTAATACCAAATAAAAATCAGCCTCTAATTGCGTTTGCGCTAAATTGAACGGATCCTTATACATCAGAAGATTTAAATCTATAATATTTAAGTCTTGTTTAATAGGAAATTGCACTTTGAATGCATTTAAGATATCCATACCGTTGAGAACAAACTGAACAACACGCCTTGTTTTCACATCAACACGTGTTCAAGCATGAAAGGTTGTGAACTTGTTAGGGCTTTTTTGGATTTAGAGTAACTTTCAACAACGTTAATAGTTAAATTTTGACTCTAGCATGTTTAACGTAAATCTACAACAGGAAACTTTAATCTATTAGAGTATATTGAAAAAATTATCTCTAATAGAGTTTATCCATAAGTAGAGTAAATAATAGAATAAAATTTACTCTAAAAAAACACTCTATATTTTTAATCTGTACTCTAAAATTTTAAACAGGGATTATTTTTTACCGTGTAGTAACTCTAAAACTAATAACTGTAGAAGTTTGATTTATTAATGAAAAATACTCCAAATGATCCATAAACACATAATTAATAAGAAATTTTAAGAAACCAAATAAGTACCGAAATTTCGTTACGTATGTCATAAAAATTACTTTTAAGGTTACTTTTTTTAATGTTACTTTTTATAACATTAAAGTCCGTTAAATGGTTTGAAATATGTTTCTTTTTATTAATGATAATTAATAAATTTTAGGCCTTACTTAGCAATAGCATACAGAAATGGTCGAGTCAGCCTTTATAATTACCTCAATCACACGATGATTCACAGTTCGGTTCTTCCCCCGATGATAATTGATCCGATCATACCAGTTGAACCAATACAAACACCTACAGATGCTTCTACCAGTGCTGTTTATGTGGCCCCACCTCCCGTTGATGAAAAAAGTTCAGATTATTTAATGTCCAAAAGTGTAACGTGTATTAAATTTTCCCCAAAATGTAAAAATTAATTTATTAATAATTGTTTATAATTAATTATTTTTTTTAATCAAGGTTATCACCTTGCTGTTGGTCGTGGAAATGGTGAAATTTTCTTTTTGGAGCCTGTATTGTTACATTCGAAACCGGGGTATCCAATAAGAAGGGGAACCCACAGAATTATGAAATTAATTTATTCGTCGTGTTATAAATATTTTGCTTACTTCGATAATAATCGTACGGTTTTTTTGTTTTATTATGATATTGAGAAGGATATTTGGTTAATGGTTGGGAAAAATAGAGCTCATACAAAGCAAATAACCGATTTGATATTTTCAACTCACACTCCAACGGAATTATATTCAATTGGACTTGATAAATGTTTGGTTAAATATGACATTTCAAATAGGTACTTAAAAAAAATCTTTTAATTTCTTTTTAATTAAATTAATTTCTTTTGTAGTATTAACGAACTTGGTGTAGTTTATAGAAAGAGGATCGACCAATCAGCAAATCCTAATTGCTTGGTTTTTTGTAATACTCCTGATACAACAACTCAGTTTTTAATTGCGGATGATGAGGTTTTAACTTTTTTTATATAAAATTGAAAAGAAATACTTTTTTTATTTCAGTTTAAATTAAAAATTTTATATCCGGATGAAAAACTATATCGGCATGTTTTTCTTGGGCCAGCTTATGGTTGTTATAGTGAAGCCCCAATTAAAAGCATGTCAGTAAGTAGTTTTATAAAAAAAAATAATTTATAAACATTCTTTTTAATTAATAACTTTTAGATGTTACCTAAATATTCAGGCAAATATTTAATATTTGCAACCGAAAAGCACATCGGGATCCAAAAACTTCCCCCAGATGGAAATCCTTATAAATATACAGGAACAGTTGGACACCCATATAAAGTTATTACCCTAAATCTTTCTTAACAAATTGTTTATTTAATTTCTTTTAGATACAACAATACATGATTAGTTCGTGCGGAAATTATATTTTCACAGCTGGAAGACACGATGTTTGCGTATTAATGTGGCAAATAAATCCCGAGTAAATTAAATTTTTATAAAATTAATTCTTAAATTCATTTTTGATGCTTTATAGAGCTGTCGAAAATATGGAAATAGTTGGTGGGAAAGAAATCAACCCATATTATTGCTTAATCGAAGGTGGAAGTCAAGGTTGGCTCTTCAAGGAAATGCAAAATCTTTTTTATTACATGCAAATCCTTCATCAGGGTGAAAACACCCAACTCCCTAGAATTGTATCTGAAAATATAGCATTAACAGAACTCCCCGATTTAATGAGAGCTTGTGGATTTTACCCAACAGAATACGAAGTAATCAAAAAGAAACAAAAATAATTATATTATTAATTCTCACTTTTTAGATTGAGACGATGCTAAATGACGTTAAACATCGCAATACACAACGTGGTTTATCATTAACGGAAATTTCATTTCGCGATTTTGTTATTTTATACATAAATCATAGACCGGCCCATGGAATATCGATGAAGCGCCTCCAAAAAGCTTTCACGCAAATTTGTAGCAATAACGACGACAAAGAGAACGAAATCGATTCGGATATTTTCGAACAGGTTCTTTGTTCGAAAGGGGAAAGTTTTGCAAAGGACGCTTTGCAGCAATGTTTGTCGATATTAATGAGATTCCATCAAGATGAAGAACAAACCGAAGATTCTGCAAGTTATGACTTGAATTTACCGAGTTCGATTAATTTCGATACTCTCGTTTATGATATTTTAGGTATCGATATGAATAGATCGCAGGGATCAAGTTAAAAGTTTTAATTTATTTTATTTTTTTATTGATAAGATTTATTTTATATCAAAATTGATAGTGTATTATTATTAAAGATTGTTTACAAAGAAATGGATGAAAATAATTTTAATTTAGTAATTGCCTTTAATCTTTAAACCGAAGTAGACGTTGATTAGATCGACACCAGGGTTAAGGTGACGAAAGGAGGGGAGAAGAATATGGAAGGAATAAGGATGAAGGAAAATGGAAAAAGGAGGATGAACTAGAATGGCCGAAGGAAAGGAAGAGAGCAAACGGGAAGTGTTGTGAGGAATGTGGTAAAGTTGAGGGAAGAGGGGAGAAAAATAAGGGAGTAGCGAGAGATGAGTTCAAAAGGAAAAAGAGTGCAAAAATGATAGAATTAGAAAAAGGAATGTGATGGAATGGATCAGAGAAATAGACTCAAACTGGGAAATAAAAACTTAGTCAAAAATCGGAGAAGAATCCTCGTTGGCTGCAACTGAGGCATTTAATAAAAAGAATAGAGAGGACGAGGATGTGAACGACTTGGAAGCTGTATTGGGGTTTTTACACACCACTGTAGCATGTTCGGGCCCAGAGTGATCGGCAGAGGAAAGAAAGAAAATAAAAGAAATAAGAGATATGTGTGATTGAAGTGGTATGTAAAGAGTTACTAAGGTTCAGGAGGTTATATGTGAGGTTGATTTCGTATATGGTTGAAAAATTAATTGATGTTAAGAGCTGCTACAGGAGTCAAGGGTTCTGGCTCCTTTAAATGGTGAGAACAGCCGAAGTAACGTGCAAGTAACGGACATTGTGGCAGCCGGTGTGCCGAAACTGTAACATAAATGAGAAAGAAGCAGGTCACCATACTTGCGATAAAAGGTGTGACGAGAGCATGTAGGCGGTAGACTTGGTCAGAAGCGACATCAATTACAAAGATCTGCAAAAAAAGGGGCGTTGATTGTTGTTGGATGACTGACAATCATTTCTGAAGTAATTTTCTGCGTAGAATCGGAATTCGACCATCACATCAGGATTTTGAGATATTTGAGGTTATGTACAAGAAAAATGTTTTTTTTTTGCTACTTTTGAAGTTATGTATGAGATGTATAATTATTTTGCTGTATTCTATCTATTTCGTCATACAGTACTATCGTTACCCTTCAAAATGTGCTCTCCTTGAATGTGCTGTACGATTTTTCCATTATAATAACTTGGGGCCGTTTTACAATGACCTAATGAGTTGAATGAGTAGAATGACCTAGTATATGGGTCAGTACTGTCAATGGATCTTTGAGAATGTTTGGGTTTCTTGCTTCGAGGCCAGTACGAATAGGCCAATTCAATTTTAACATAGTACTGTTCACTTTATGTATTTTGTAAAACCCGACGCATGCCATTAATTTTGAAACCTCCACGTATATTCCATTTGTTATAAGGATAGATTGTTTGAAATAAAGAAACGGAAGATTGATACTGAACAAAAATAGAAAAGTGATCAGAAGCAAAGGAATCCTCCAAAACCTTCCACGTTACTTTGTGAGCTATGTCGGTAGATAAAATGATTTATTAATTTTAGGAATGCGCAGTCCGTGCGCTCAAAAAGAGAAGAATTGGAGCAATTTACTTTTTGATTTTGACATTGATGTGGCAATTATTTCTGAAACCTGGTTTAAGCCTGACACGATAGTTAAATTTAAAGGTTACAATATTATTCGACTCTACAGAGCGGAAAGAAAGTTTAATAACATGGATTGTCAACTATATGTTCAGAACTTAAATGTTTGTGAAATTCAATTAGCTGATTTAGACGTTTTCATTTGCTCGGTTTATCGGCAAGATGGAGATAATATGCAATGCGATGATTACCATAAACTGTTGTCTATTTCTGCTCCCCTCTTGATAGGCGGTGACTTTAAGGTACATCATACTACGTTTGGGTTCACTAAGGATAATCATGATGGTAATGTGCTTTTGAAGTCTATAGACCATCTCTACTGTAATGACGTTGATGGGATGAGAAGTGCACTAAGATTATTAAAGGTAGGAAAACTGTAATTAAAGTGTACAAACAGCACTCCATGCTGGATAACTGGTGCAAGAGACTATGGCAAACAATTTCTGAAGGCAAGGAAACGGAATAAATGGAAAAATTATTGCAGTAGTTTAAATAGAACTGCAAAAGAAATCTGGGATAATATTCGAAGATTTTCTGGATTGCCTGGCAATAGATCTTTTCTTATTAGTGAGGATAAGCTGCAAGATTTTCTGAATTCATTGACTCCGTCCTTTGTGTGCAATAACCTTCCGCTTAGTACTAACCCATATCTCTCCCTACATTTCATGATGACTCCTTTTACTTCTCACAAGCTGCAAAATACTTTTTCACTTCGCAAATCTACAGCGCCTACTACGATCTTATAGGACGTGAAGCATTTTTTGTTGGGCGTTTATAATATACATAAGCATTATATTATAACGCTTTAAAATTTTTGATTAGCCCCGTTTCCATTAGCTTTGCTAATGATGTCGTATTAGGTATTAACCAGATGGTAGTAACAAGCCGAGCGCCATTTATCTATCGGATAAATTTATCAAGAGGTGATAAAAGTGGGACTTAATAATAATAATTTAAAAGAAAATGTATTGAACTAAATCAGAAAAGGAATACCTAATAATAATTTATTTCAACTTTATTTCATCAAAACAATACATAGAAATGAAAATTGGCGATGTTTCGTTTGACGCAAAATCGCCACGAGAAGCTTTTCAAACATAACCTTTACATTACATCAAATAAAGCATAATTGATCAAATGAAATCAAAATAAACTAGATACAACAAAAGAACAACTGTAAATTAAATTTTCCCTAACATGAAAATAAAAAAAAAGAAAAATATAATATTATATAAAATGCAGGCTCATCATCAAACGAAGCAAAAAAAACAAAGAAACAACAGTTGCTTCAAAAGTTCACTGAGACAGCCACAGAGCTTGAAATTGCGACGGTTGTCAGGCACTAAAGCCAGAGTATCGTCTATATTTGATTTTAAACTATTTGGACGCGCATTTTTTAAACTCATTTGTTAGCGAATTGTATTTCAAGACTATCTGATATGAAAAGCATCGTTTAAAAGAGTCTATTCGGTGTGCAGGTATTTTAAGCAAGTCTCTATGTCTGAGATTGAGATTATGCACATCTGTATTTTAAGTTAATTTTTCGTACAGATATGGTGGTGACTTATTGATGATAATTTTGTGATACATACTTAAACAATATAATAAACGTCGATTCTCCATGCTTAACCACTTCGCTTCTTTCAATTTGTATGATATAGGTAGACGGCTACGAATACCACATATCAATCTCAGACACGATTTTTGGGTTCTCTGTATTCTACCCACATCTACCGCTGACAAAAAAGCGCCATAAACAGTGTTGCAATAGTTAAACCTAGACAGCACTAGTAGGTCGCATAGCAGTTTTGATTTGTATTTTGATTTAGTGAAAACCTGTTCTTATAAATCACCTTTAATGCTGCGAAGGCCCTCTGTATGGTGAGATTGATATGCTTTGTAAACGACAGCTGACCGTCCATTATTACACCCAGACTTTTCATTGTATTTTGTACCTCAATTTGTTGGCCCATCTATAATTAAGGTTAATGGGCCTAAAAGTGAGCGCACATGATCCGTGCCAAAGACACTAGCTGTAGTTTTAGCGCTATTGATGTGTAGGGAGTGATCTCTCGAGAATTGTAAAATATTTGATATATTGTACAAGTAAAAATTACAATGTTTCAAGCGTTCTGACATTGTAGATCTATATGTATTGTATAGAATAGGACTCAGAATACCACCCTGCGGTACACCAGAGACGAGGGGCTGTGAAAGGGAAAGTTGACCATTCAGAATCACTGAATCTGTGACCTATCCTTTAAATAGTGGGAAAGAAGTGAGAGTGAATTCTCACCAAGACCGCTGTAATGCAAGATGGAGATAAGGGTTTCAATGTCGATCGAATCAAAAGTTTTGGAATAATCGGTGAGGATCAAGACCGTAACCAAGTCTAAACTAACGTAATTATTTTTCCAGAATTCTTTCAAAAATTTTGGAAATAGTTGGCAACAAACTGATAGGCCGCATAGCTGAGTAGGAGATTGGAGATTTTATTTTTGGAATAGGGACGATGTTAGCCACCTTCCACAAAGAGGAAAAGGTATTAGTTTCAATACAAGTATTTATGATATGGGTCAGGAACGGCATAATGTGAGGAAAAAAGAAACATAGTGTTAACATGTGCTGAGACACACCGTCCGCGCCTGCAGAAGTGTTTTTCATTGTAAGAAAAACCCTCTCGACCTCCGCCTGAGAGACCAGATTGAATTCATAGATATTTACTCCATTTTCCCGATCATTCAAGTAGGAATTTATTAATTGTTGTGAAGTACCTTTGAAAGGTATGTTCGTGATGATAATAAAAATGTACCAAAAGCATCATATTTAATTAGTTGGCACGTAGCTAAACAAGACGAAGTTTATACGATAGCAGAAAAATTGATTAAACATGGTGCAAAAGATTTAATCACATCCATGATCGGTGAAAAATTTGCAAGGAAAATTGACCTTTCCCCATTATCAGATACGACGAATTAAAGACATATCAGATTTCTACGAAGCGGAACTAGAATGGTTTGAAACACGCTAAAGATGGCTTTACTTTACAAATGGATGAATCTACTTCATGCTTATTTTGAAAAATGTTCTATTTCTTGGAATTTATGTCATCGCATATGTAGTGACCAATAATATTTTAACATTTAACTAGCTTGCAAAACACATTTTTGGTGTATTTTCCCCCTACTTGCAATAGTTTAAGTTGGATTGAAAATCCTTTTAATCAGTGCAGTGGTTGGATTGGGGATTGGACCTTCCAAATTAAGGAAAGAGAGCAACTTATAGACATACGTACCGACACCACATTAAAATCTACATTTGCACATGATGGTATTGGTCCATTTTGGATAAAATTAATGGATGAATATCCGGAAATTTCCAAACGCGCCGTAAAAGAATTGATGCTTTTCGCAACAACCTATCTCTGTCAGAAATACTTTTCCACATACGTCGCTACAAAAACGAAATACAGAACTCGACTTGATGCTGAAAATGATATACGTCTCCAATTAACATCTATCCATTCAGATATTGATAAATTGTGCAGTATTTGTTTTTCTTTGTATTTATCTATTACTATACTTATGACATATTTATATTTTACAAGGAATATTTATCTTTTTGTTTGAATAATTATAAATTAGTGATTCTTGTACAGAGTTTTTATAACGTGGGCAGATATGCACCTTGTTCATAACATGTGTTACTGAACGAAGAGTTCCATAAAAAAATTATCTCAAAAAAGGGTTCCGCACGATGACAAAGGTTAAAGAACAATGTTCTAGTTTTTCGCAATCTCTTCTGATTTCTTCTTTAATATTTCACCGCTAACATTTACACTTCGACCACCAACTACTAAAAACCATTTATCCAACGCTTTTTCAACTTCTGGATATTTTCCAACACGAATTCGAGCGATCATATAGACGTAATTCTAAAAAAACATTTCGTTGGATATTGTTCGTCCCGATTAAGCGGAATTGAGTGTATTATATAAAGGAATAAAGGTCAAATTAAAGATACTGAACTTGACTAGGTTGTAGTTGACCTTGATCTCAAGGTGAAAGTTACGCGGTACGCTCTCGACCTTTTCTCTTAGGAAAAATCTCAAAGTTAAGGTAATGTAACGATTAACGCATGCAATACTTCACTTCTATTTCCCTATTGACGAATCTCAAGGTCAAGGTTATGCAGTACGACTTTGACCTTGAGGTTCGTCAATCGGCAAATACCTACAACTTCCGCGTCTAGCCCGCTGATACTCGAGAGCTTGTATTTTCAATTTTTACTATAAACTGTAACGAAAATTAGCATTAAAAGAAAGAAGTAGCTTAATTTGTAGTTATAATTTATTTTCGCAACACCATGAACACATTTTGAATAGAAAACAGGAAAGCATTCTCGTTTATAAAAAATAATAAAAAAGAATTTTTGAAATAAATTATTATTGTTTCCATAACAAAAATAGATTAAAATAAAATTGAAGGTTACAATTCCTTTTATTAAAACAACTTTCTCGGAGTCATAAACAATTTTAATTCTTCATTGGTAATCTTAGCTCTCCTTTCTTGATGTTGTTGAATAATAGGTGTCAAAGTGTCGATTAAAATCTTTTTTAATTCCCCAGTTAACAAAGCACCACTGCTATAATCTTTTCTTATTTGCTCTATTTTTGCATCATCCTCCAAGAAAAACGTTAAGTACTTAAATGAAATATCAACTTCACAATTTCCGCCTAATTTCCGATGTTCTTCCACCGACGGTTGTCCACCAGAAAAAGCATGTTTATTAATTTTATTTTTCAATTGCTTTGGAGTGTCAGTTAAATATATTGTTGAATTTGGATCCGACGCGGACATCTTTGTTTTTGCCCCTTGTAAAGCAGGGAAAAATGTGGAATGGATTAAAGCTGGTTTTGGAAACCCGAGTCTAGGCGCAACATCCCTCGTCATTCTAAAATAAGGATCTTGATCTATTGCACATGGAATTAAACAGGAAATCTTTTTTTCCCCGAAAATCGCTGGAAAAGTAGTTGATAAACAAGGCGCTGCTTGTATAGCAGGAAAAGCGATCTTCCCGATTATATCACTATCACCAAAACCAAAAATCCCTTTTACTTGATTAAAAGTCACGCATTTTTGGATACGAATCACATTACGATAGTATTCAGGAGCTTGTCCCATATATTCAAAATTCGAAAATATAAACGTCTTGTTTACATCAAACCCAATAGCGATAATATCTTTAACATTTTCGTAACATAACTTCATCGCTTCTTCAACGCTTAAATCTTTCCATAACGTTTTTTCGTCATCCGTCATTTGGATGACTAAAGGCACATCAAAAACATCTTGTAACCATTTGCAAAATATAAACGGAATTAAATGCCCAATGTGCATGGAAGAAGATGAAGGTCCTCTTCCGGTGTACAAATAAAACGGTTTGTTTGCTTCGACATCATTTAAAATTCTATGCATATCACGATGAGAGAAAAATATTCCTCTTTTAAGAAAATGATGAGGTTGTTTACCTGTTATTTTTTCAAATCGGTCGAGAAGATCATCTTCTATTTTTGAACTTCCAAAACGTTCTATGGAAAAATTATTATTTAAATTAAATTCTTACACGGGAAGTGTCGGAACTGTCCTTTACCGATTTCGTTGTACCAAATTACAACGAAATCGGTAAAGGGTCAAAATATTTTTTTTAAAATGCTAATAAAGCTCCTGGGGCGAGTTATAAGTTATAAGGGTTGGAAATCGGGACAAACGGAATATATTCGTGTATAGTTTGAAATCGAAAGTAGCTATCGAAATGTGGTAAATGTAAACTTATGTTCATTTTTAAAGAGCTTTTCATTGATATATCACACATATAACTGAGGGCTTCAGGGGATAAACTACTCCTACTTTTTTGGAATAATTTAAAAACTATGCTGTCGATTTTGGCGGCATTAAGTATCCATATAGTTATGTGAAAATATTAATTACGTGTTTTTTCTCATTTGCCTCTGACCATCCCCCCTCTGAGTCGTCCAGTATAAATGTATGTAATGATAACCTAATCCTTATACAGGGTTATTAGAAAAATTGAATTGACACAACGTAACACTAATACTAATCAAAACAAAGCTTTTTACTGAAGATGTTCAAAATGTCGACCTGCAACATCAATACAGTTTCTCATTCTACGTTCAGAGGAAACCCGAACTCTTTCAAATAACCCGTAATTTTCACGAATTGTCTGACAACCCTGTTCTATTCGTTACCGCAAGTCTTCAACATCGTTTACAGGTGTCGCATACACTAAGCTTTTTAAGTAGCCCTATAAACAAAAGTCTAGCGGGTTCAAATCCGGCGAACGTGCAGGCCATGCAATGGGGCCTCCTCGTCCTATCCATCTCCCAGGAAACCTTTAATTCAAATGTTGTCTAACAATACGCGTAAACTGCGGGGGAGCTCCATCTTGCATAAACCAGAGATTTAATCTTTGATTTAACGGCAAGTCTTCCAAAAGTTGAGGTAGAGTGTTTTCCAAGAAATCCAAATATGTTAGACCATTTAATGGTTGTGGTAAAACTATCGGTCCTAACAACCTATCCCCTACGACGCCTAACCAGATATTTAAATTAAAACGCTGTTGATGTCTGGTTTCAACAACGGCTCGAGGATTCTCGTCAGACCACACATGATTATTGTGGAAATTAAATATTCCATTTCTGGTAAAACCAGCTTCATCGGTGAAAAGTATGTTAGCTGAGAATCCTCGACGATTCTCAGCTAACATACCATTAGATTATTACCATTAGATAATCCATTAGATTAGACCATTAGATATCCATTGGCACAGCGGTACATAAACACCATATCGCTCATTTCAGCATTTGAATACAAGACCATTGCAAACGATTTCATTTCAGGTTTCGCAAAATCAAATTACTGGAGTTTGGTTATTTCGTAATTTGAACAAAACGTCAAATTAATGTATGTATCTTAGCAGATTGTACGTAAGGCAAAACCTACTCCTTGTAATGGCCAAATTTTGGTAACTAATGGCCGTACACTTGGCATAACATTTTGTAATGGAATAACTTATACCAACTTAAGGACACATTTTTTATTCGAATTAATGTTGTTTAGAATTAAGCTATCTAACTAAAATTAAATGAAATTTTTGAATTTTCTGAAAAATAGTGGTATTTATTTTCACTTCCGTTCCAACCGGAAGCAATGGAAACATCATACTATTCTCAAAAAGAGACAGTTTCATACTGTATCGATTTGCCAAGTATCAAATCTGTAATAGTTATAGTTTAAAAGAAAAAACGTAGTCCCAAAAAAATTGAACATCCTGTATCTCGAAAACGGTTGATTTTCGGACTACTTTACCCCTATAAATATTTAAACGTTCTTTTAAAACAGCCTGTATAGTGAGACGTTCATGAGCAAAACAACAAATCCTAGTATATGGACCAGAGACTATCTATAACTCGGATCAGAGTGGTTAGGTTGGCTTTTAGTTCCATTCAGAAAAACCTTAACCGACTGAGGGTTAAAACCGTGGAAAGCATGGTCCAGTCGGTGTCATCGACAGCGCATAGCTCTCTGGCACGTTTGGATCGAGGGTCGAGGGTACTCAATACAATGTTCAAAGCAGATAACATATTTGTTTTGGCATCAAAGTCTTATAAAATAACTTCTGCTCATATGAAAAATTGGCTACAAAATGTTTGGGAAATACAAACATTACTATTACAAATCATTATTATTACTGGATTCTTGGAGCCACTCCAAGAATCCAGTCAGACTGCCTTGAAATTATTAGTGAAGTAACTCCATCAGATATTAAGTTGAAACATTTGTCAATACCTGCAGAGACACTAGGTCAAATTCAACTTCTGGATGTATTTGGTTTTTGAATATGAAACATTTTATTAGGGTACGTTTACGTTGGAGCTGCGATAAACGATAATAGCGACAATACTAGCAAAGCAAAGAAAATGTTGTCAAAGTTTTATAATTGCAGGTGTTTATATTGGAGCGACGCGTTGTCACACGCTTGACAGCCGACTAATGATAAGAGCGACGCTAATTGTATTCCCTATTTTCTTTGCTATTATCAGGTGTTATTATCGGCATGGATATCGACTGTTTAATTAGTGAAATTTTGTTAGATCCCCCTTGTAAGACCAAAAAAAATGAATTAAATTTATTCTATTTGATTTCTTTAGATAGGTGTGAACAATAATAGGAAATTTATACAGAAAATGTATAATTGTATATCTTCAATAGTAATAGTATTTAAATTGGATTGCGACAAAGATACGTTTTAAATATTTTAAGCAGATTCTGTTGGTCTTCCAGTATTACTTGGGGTGATATTTCTTGCTTTGGTTGTGCACTGGTGTGAAGTTATCCATAAATCCCAGCCATAAACTTAACCATAAAAACGTAACCAATACGATTTGGGTCACCAAATTTCACACACAGGTCACAATTTTTCAACCCCCACCCCCGAAAAAGGGATGTTTTCGCCCTGATGGACACCTTCGAATTAAACCAAATTCTACCACATAATAGAACACGGTTCTAAGTATTTTTATCAATTTTCAAAACACCGTAACCCCTAACGGTTTTCGAGAAAAAAAAACATTCTTATAAACCGCGGATGGGAATTTAGGGGTGAATTTGAACACTTTTGAAATTGATGAAACTTTAGCATGATTTAGTTAGAGGATGCCTATAGCGATCTAAATAGACCGTCAAAACACCGTAACCCTTAACGGTTTTCCAGAAAAAAAAAATTGTTATATTCTATGCCTATACTTGTGAATTTGATGAAACTTTAGGATGATGAATTTGATGGGTTTTTGATAGAAAAAAACTTTTTAATAACATCATGTTATATTTTTAGCAATAACTTATAAAATCCAATTTCATTAAAAAAACTTTTTAAGTTGTATGAGATATTGAAGCTGAATGGAGTACTACTTAAGATTTTTGGAACAAGAATAATATATAAAAAATAACGAAATACACAACACGAAATTACCTACAATATTTTTTAAATAATTTACCAACGTTTTGCAACAATACTAGAATAAGAATATGTCGTGAACAACGCGCTTTTTACATTGCTTTTTCTTTAATTTTGATATGAGTACGTTAGTATTATAATCTCTAATATTTATCTATTTTTATATCGTAGTCGTGCCCGTAGATGACTTATGAAAAGGCAAAACATATGTCGCATTGAAAATTAATATAATAAAGATCATCGTTTTAGGCCAAACTAGCCTTTTATTTTGAATACGCGTAAAAACGATGTTTTTGGAACAAATCTTAGCCAAACTTAGAGAATTTAGGCATTGTATAGAAAAGTGTGCAACAAAAGGTGGATGTTATTATCTTAACTTTTATATTATTTAAATAGAGTAAGGATAGTAAACCTCATTGAACATGGATAAAAAGTTCTTTCAAAAAAACTTAAATATGTGTATATTCAAGATTTTTGTGTACGAGTTTGAAAATTATTAGCGAAAATATATTATCTACCCTCAACTTCTAACCCTTATAAGTGCTTTCAAAAGTACTACTTAACATATAAAGAAATCATCATGCTAAATTGCACCAAAATCAATAAGCAATACTTGCAAAAAAATTAATTCTTAGGGTGGTTAGGGTACTTAACCCCAACCACCCCTAAATGTCGTATAAGGTTTATTTTACTGCGTAAATCTTAATCTTAACTAATTTACAGTTTTCTTCAAAATATTGTTCAAAATTGTAACAGTTTTATCACCTTATTCTTAAGGAAAGGGGTTATCTATTATACCCCATAACTTTGCATTGAATGGTAAGTGGCAAACGAGAAAAAACACGTAATTAATATTTTTAAACATACTATATGGATACTTAATGTCTTCAAAATCGACAGGGTAGTTTTTAAATTATTCCAAAAAAGTAGGAGTAATTTACCCCCTGAAGACCCCATATATATGTGTGTTATATCAATGAAAAGCTCTTTAAAAATGAATATAAATTTACATTCACCACATTTCAATAGCTACTTTCGCTTTTTAACAATACACGAATATATACCGTTCGCCCCAATTTCCAACCCTTATAACTTGCACCAGGAGCTTTATTAGCACCTATAAAATAATATTTTGGCCCATACTATCGCTGTACCAAATTACAACGAAATCGGTGAGGGACAATTTCGACATTTCCCTTGTTAGTTAAAGATTTTTTATCTATAAAGTTACCATATGGAGAGTTTAAATAGGTTTCTAACAAAAAACTAATTATATGAAGCGGTGTAAATGTAAATAAGTTAAAGACTTACTTATTAATTTATCATAATCGACCCCAGAGTCTGATTTACCAACAACATTCCAAGGATCCACAAAATCACCATCTTCACCATTTTCTACCTGAGGTGAATTAACAACACTTTCTTGTTCATTGGACATTTTCTTCAATACTGGTTTAATACTAATCAATAAATAACAGCTCGTTCCTATTAAATATTGTATAACTTTAGGATATATTACGTTATTTAAATGTTAGGTTAAGCGGTATGGTGCTTATTAAACGTCAAAATTTGACAGCTACAGTAAAAAAATTAAATCCCCAACCTCAAAAAATCCTTTGTGTTAAATTTATTTTCATTAATGGGTTTAAAAAAATTAATTAATCTACACGTGTCGTTTAATAATTGTGTTATTATTTATGATAAATATCTATTTCTATTATCTATATTGTATTTATCAATAAATTAGTTGGTCGTTAGTGCGCATATGCGGAAATTTAGTTATAAGTTGGTATGGTGGGGTACAGCTGACTAGTGTAGAATTGTCAAATCAAAGCGTGTTGTATCAAAACAAAGTGATGGATACGTGAAAACTAATGTGAACCGTAAAGATGGAAACGTTAAAATCATTCTCGTTAACGAAGACCTTCAAAAAGAAGGTTTTCATGTACTTGTTACACCGTTACTTGGGGCAATTCATCGAGGAGAAGCTGCGTTTGGACCAATTAGAATTGCATTTGGATATGCATAATGGAATAGGAACTGTAGAGTACGTCAGCCTTGACGTTCAAGTAAGTTTTTAACACGTTCAAAATTCTCATTTATGGCATTGACACGTGCTGTGTTAATTGTAAACAACCACCGTGCATAATAAACGAACAGAATTTTCTAAAGATTGTTTATAAAAGGTTTTTCATATGGAATTTTTTTGAATGTGAAAAAAATTAAAATAGTACGCACTTTCTGCGCCATTAAAATTGAAAGGAAGGTTGTTTACAAACAAAACTCGTGGCCTGAATTATTTATAAGTAGGTTTTTTAAATACCCACAAATAATTTATTCTAAATTATAAAGCAAATTAATAATTTGGGTGAAGCCCAAAATTGGCCTATGGAAATAGTCGATGGGTATATTGAAAAAATCACTGTAACCGTGCCATGGTCTTCTATATTAAAAGAACCCACAATTGTTGTGATAAACGGACTGAAATTAACTGTTCAACCCAAACAACGAACTGATTATGGTGAGTTGAAAACCAGTAACAGAATCCACACTTTTCCTTTGTTCTCTTATAATAGCAACTTCAATGTTTGAATCTATGTGGAGTTCTATGTCTAGTTCAAGGCAATTGGCGCAGGAATGTATGCAAGAATCGCCCAATTTAGCTAATAATAAAACGTTGGACGGTATAGAAAATTTTGCACAAACAATAGATTCAAGTAATTAATTAAAATTTGAAAAAATTAATTTATGTATTTATGCTGTGTATTTTCAGTTCTTAGCCGTGTTAAAGTGACATTTATTGATACGGTTATTCAAATTGAACATGTTCCTAAACATAGCATATCAGGAGTTGGAATACAAATAAAAATAGATCAGTAAGTATTTTATTTTAGTTACTTATATACATAATGCTTGAAATATAGAAAAATTAAAACTGATTATTTATGAAATAGTTTTTGTGCAATCTTTGGATTAGATGTGCATCCAAATACAGAGAAATGCTATTAAATGGGATGAAATTCTCCATATTTCTCTAATATAATAAAATGTGATGTAGGTAAAAGTAAAAACTTTTTGAGAAATACTAAAATGTTTAATTCAATTCAAGCAGACATGTTTCGAAACTAATGTTTCATCTTCAGTACTTAGAATATTATACAATATAGTGCAAAAATATTATGTTAGTAGGTGGGGTTCAGGAATAGATCTAAATCTCTTTTAACTTAATTTACAAACAAAAATTAAATTTAACAAAATCAAAAAATTAAAAAACTTCAATAATATAGTTAAAATCTTGGAAGGTAACATATATAGAAATGCTATTGTTTTGTAAATACATTAAAATAATATTAACGTTTTATAGATTAATCATTATAGTTAATGTATCAGTTTCAAATATGTTGTGGCAACAATGATTAAATGGTTGATAACAGTTGAGAATAAATGGGTGAGAAAATGCTGATAAGAGTAGAAACAATAATTTAAATATCTCTCATGGTTAGAAGTAGGTGTTTTAGTTCTCAGAACAGAATTTTTACTGAATTTTGAGGTATTTCACATATTTTTTAGGAAAAACAAACTGGAAAGGTAAAATAGATGCTAATTTATTTTCTAGTAAAATGAAGTATTATTTTGATAAAAATTCAAAGTCAGAATCATCTTCTGATTCCCTTGGTGCTCTTCCACTGTATCCATGATCTGCTCCCTTGCATCAGGACTCAACTCCTTCAATGGGACTTTCTGGTCAGTTCTATTTTTATTATTAGTATTGCTGAGGGGTGCGACCCCTTTCGTCTCCGCGACCTAAAAGATCTATTGTGGCTTAAACCCTACAAAGGTTTAGGGCAAATTTAGGTCCTGGATGAATCTTAGTATTTCTCCAAGGTCTTGTTCCTTTATGTCAGTAGGTGTTGGTAGGAAATGTTCAAAAACTTAGATTTCTTTTTTTTAGTGTTATTATTAAAATCGGAACCAACATTTTTGCATTTAATACGAAAACGGTGGTTTTTATCAATATTCTCTAAGAGTGTTAAAAGTTTCTAAACTAAATTCACTATTAGAAACTGCAAAAATAAATGTAGGGTTATGATAGAATAAAAAAGTTCTGAGCAAACAAACTTTAGGAACAGCTGTATAGTATTGTTCCCGCGTACCGATCCAACTCAAAAATTGCCTAATGAGTTTACGTGATATTAGTTTACACTGTATCAAATTTCAACGCTTTACTATAAATAGTGTTTAAGATATTTAGAAAAATGTGTTAAAATTTCCTAACTAATTTTTTTTTTCACATGGATCGTCATCATTTTCACTCTAGTACATGTGGTTACATTTGTTCCCCGAGTCATCGAGACACCTGTATAAGAAATGGTTAGGAAAACTTTCTTTTTGGATCTGAAGCAAGAGGCGACCAGGAATACGATGCCGTTGAAATTAGATCGATTAGAAACCCCAAACAGGCCAAAATTTGCGATTGTTTAAAGAAAAACGATTTTCCCGGAATATAAGAAATGGTTAGGAAATTTTTCTTTTTTGATTCTGAAGCAAGAAGCGACCAGGAATACGATGCCATTGAAATTAGACCGATTAGAAACCCCAAACAGGTCGACATGTGCTTATGTTTGAAGAAAATCGATTTTTCCGGAATATAAGAAATGGTTAGGAAAATTTTCTTTTGAATCTGAAGCAAGAGGCCACGAGGAATACGATGCCGTTGAAATTAGATCGATTACAAAACCCGAACGGGCCGAATTTTGCGAAAGTTTGAAGAAAATCTATTTTCCCGGACTATAGGAAATGGTTAGAAAAATTTTCTTTTCGAATTTGAAACAAGAGGCGACCATGAACACGATGCTGTTGAAATTAGATCGATTAAATACCCCGATCACGTATTTTTTTCAATTTAAAATCTATGGCTGAAATCTAGGCCAACTTCACATGCGTCAGTTCTAAGGCTTGTAATAACAGGATCTGATGAGATCAAAAGCATGTGATCTAAGTCTTCACAAGTTTTTGTATATGAGTACTTTCTAGTATACAGAGCTTTAAAACGCTTTATGTCTTTATTCCTTGCCTCCTCTGAAAGCTGCCCTATTGGAACAAGGGCATGTTTGATGGCTAAAGAGCCATGTAGAAGAATTTTATGTACGCTGGAAGGCATCCTGTAGCAGCCATATAGCGATATATTAGTGATCGCAAATCCCGCCCCGGATATCACGCTTTACATAAATTATCGTTTTTTTGCAACTTTAGCTCTCTATATTGTATCCACCATTTTAATTTTTGAAAATTTTTTAATTCTGACCCAGATTCGTAATCAGCACCCAAAAGGTCCGGCTAATTCCACGTTTTAGAAAAAAACATCAAGAGAAAATGAAAAACTGTTAACGGTTTGCTTGGAGTTTTAATTGGAGAAGTTTTGTTATATCTCAATTTATCGTTCATTATGACTCGTCTCCTTTGAATAAGTTATTGATTATATCATAATAAAAAAATTCTCAAACTTTGAAGTCAATAACTACAGTTTTACTACAATGCATTCTTATAAAATCAGTGTGCGGATTAGAAAATATGGTACTTATAATAAGTTAATATTAATAGCACTAACATTGCTTACAACACAAGATTATTTGTAAACCCCCTAATGAAGATTAAGATCTTTGCCGCTGGAAACATTAATTTAAACACCTCTTAAACATAGTTAACAGTTAACACAATCAAATAAATCCAATGTGTTAAGATGCATCTGCTATCAGGGCCGACACATAATACTGAACTTTGCTGACAGAAATCGGAACCTGAATAAGGTGCATGTCTGAATTAGACGCCGTTTGAATAAGACGATGAGGTTTGATTTTTCAGTCATCGTACATGATTAGATTCAGTTTAGCGCTTTCTTCAATCATACCACACGCTGTTAAAGATTGCCGTGTTTCAGACACAATCTTGTGTTATGTTGAGTCATCTCATGAGGGCCGACACATAACGTTGAACTTCACTTAAGGTTTGACTTTTATTATCTGTCATCGTTATCTGTCATCTATCGAACATCCTCGTAATGCTCAAGGTCGCAGAAACAGACTTCGCAGTCTCTGACTTGTTCAGTCAATACTTTATTTCGACCAAAACGTACATGATTAGGTTCGGTTTTACTGACTAATTCAGTGATACCAGTACGTCGCTAAACATTGTCGTGTTGCAACTTATCAGGGCCGACACATAACACTGGACTTCGCTGACAGAAACCCAGGCCTGAATAAGGGGCACATCTGAATAAGACGGTGAGGTTTGACCTTTCAGTCATCTGTTGCCACGCACATTTATTAGTGATGACCGGTGGCTCACGATGTCATGAAACACTTACCATAATATCTTTGTCTATTGTGTTTATTTTAATTTATGTATACAGGTATCCAACGTAACTGGTTCGTTAAAATCTTTTTTAGGTTCCACTATTCATACAGTTTTCAAATTTTCGATCTAAAACACTATCAATGTATGAATGTTTATAAATGATTTGTAAAGAATAAAATTCCCTATGGTAGGCTAATAAAATACGGAAAAACGGTAATTCAATTTTGGCCAGCCTGTATAAGATACTCTGATACAAGGAATCTATTTCATACCATCTGAAGAGTAATTATGCCAATTTGAAACTTTTTTGAATGAACTTTGGCTAAGAAATACGGTTTAAAGAGCCTGCTGAAATTTGCCAAAACAACTTAAAATCAAAATAATTCGAAACGAAAAACGCCAATAGGTATACAAGCCACGGTACCAATACCTTTGAAAATACCAAACCTTTAAAAATATTGTGACGTTGATTCACAATATTTTTTGCGTATAATTAATAAGTTGTGGTCTATTCCGGTAGACCGGAAGTGGCAGCCATCTTGAAAGTATTTTAGATCGAAAGTTTCAGACATTTATGTCATCATATCTGAAATATCAGGTTTTTTATGTTTCTCAACAAGAAACTGGCTCAAATACGTGGTCATAGAGAGAGTTTTAGAGAGTGTGAATCTACAATGAGAAGAGATCCTGTAGATTATATTTCGAGATTAATATTACGTTATGTTTTTTGAGTATGTTATTAATCGTATATCTTGCTCAAAACATTATTGAGCCATAAAGACAGATTCTGTACTCATTCGCGAAAAATACGTTTTTCCAGACGTCCAATTAATGCATTCTCGGTTGAACTGCAAGCTGTAAAACCACTTTTTGCAACAGTGGGCTTAGTGTGCCGAAGACTGCTTTGAATCTCTCAATGCAGCAATCATAAAATTATCTTCTTGCTGTTGTTTTTCTTTTAGTATATATACCGGGCCGTCGGTGATAAGAGCCAGTTCAAAGAAATCGTTGGTGTGTTCTCTACTAAATGATTAACATTTATTTGTCTTGCCATAGCCCGTTGATTTAGTACATTTCCCAGCAATGTCACCATTTGCACAGCTGTTCAATATTCTTCATCTATTATTACTGTACTCTAAAAAAAGCCTACGTAGGACTAAGATCAGTTTAAAACTTATTACTCATTTACACATAAGTATAAAGCTCGTAAAAATATCGCTTTAAGCTTACGTGTTTAGTTAACTATTAAATTTGAATTATTAAATAATCTTTCAAACTTAACAAACCTTAAATTTACAAAAACAGAAAATTTGGATATGGTTAATTTTTGTTTAAAATTAATTTAATCCTCTACTTCAACATATCTTTTAAAATAAATATAAGATATGTCACAATCTCGTTTTCTAAAATAGCAAATGTCTCATAATTTTCCTAGAAGCGCATAAAAATTAATCTTTTATCACATGTATGATCTAACTTATAATCACGTCGAAACACGCAATATTTTTTTCATTTATTAAAATTCATTTAATAAATAAATAATTTAATTAATTAATAAATAAATTTCATTTATTAAATAAATTAATTATTTCGTTTAAAACAGTTTTTGTCGTTTCGGAAATGTATAAAGAAACATCAAACTTAATGAACAAGTATATTACAATAATATTTTTTTCTTTTATTCAGTCATTGCGCTATTGTTATAAACAATACTCAAGTGTCCGTGATTTTTTTTGTATAATGAATGTTTTTATGTAGAGTTTATTGATTGATAAGAACCATGCGCGTGCTGATTTAATTTTTTGTTTATAAATAAATTTAGGAGCAGTTAATTAAGCATTTTATTTCTTATATTATTAGTGGCATAAAATTAAATGAGAAAAAAATACTATTTATAAATAAACCGATAGTGAAATGATAAAAACATTAACAAATGGATTCACTTGAATTTGATAAATGAAATTACAAAGCACGTTTCAGGTTATTTTTTTTTAAATTGTTGTTTTATTTCGCGTGTTTGAGATTGTTTTCTATATTTAAAAGTACTCCAATAATAATTGCGTAAACAAAGGCTAATCATTTTCATGTAGTCTCAACAATTTTAGTTTTAACAAATTAAAAAGGATTTTAATAATTTATTATTTTTAGTATAAGATTATATGATGAAGCCGGAAATGATCCGCCAACTGGAGAAACTCCTGATGCTAACGTGAAAGAACAAAGTAAAGCATATGTTGATTCGCTGGTAACGTGCAAAAATTTCATTTTAACTGGAGTCTCATTTCACACAATCGAATTTCCTACAAAAGCTCGAACGTTTTCAAAGTCAGTGCGAGAACGATCTCCATGCAAACACTGCCAAGCTTCGGATTTAACCGAATCTGACGAAGATGAAAGGTGCAATTGTTCGCTGGAAGATCAAGAAGAAACCGGCCGAAAAGTTAATACGGATCGACACGTTATCATGTTTGCTAAATTAAATGGTGTACAAGAGATTAGAGTAAGAATCAAACAGCCTGAACTAGTTGTTGGACCGAAAGTTTCGATAGAAGCTATGTTTGGAACGTTTACGGTATTTATGTCGCCAAGACAATTATTTGTTTTAGTGGAATTAGTGAATGGTTTGACGAGCCCAGATTTAGAAGACACTAGTAATCTTCCCCCAAAACATAAATGTACCGAAAAACCTATGACATCAGCGGATTTCGAAAGGATAGAGCAAGAATTACAAAATCAAATACATCCCTTGAATATTAATCAAGGAAAAGGTCTTCAAGGTCCTGGGCATGGGTGGTCAGCAAGTCCCCAAGATGATGACGATAGCATTTTCTTTCCTTTAAGAGGAAAAACTAACACAAGTATGTTTGATAGCACCACCTCAAATGCAAGTAGTAGTATGGAATCAAGTTTAACATCAAGTCTTACCAGTAGTGCAAGTGAAATTTCATCAGCTAGAAGAAGAAAATGTAATTATAGAAATTTCATTCACAAATAGCTGCATCAAATATATTTTTCTTATAGCTCATAATATTGAAGCAGATCCAACTGCTGAAATATCGCATTTTCAAATAAGAGTAGCTTCAATTTCCGTCTTGTTATTACACGAAGATATCTTAGCTGTTTCTCCAGATAATTTAAGAATCATACCTGCTAGTGTTGTTCAGATGCAAAATATCTCAAAAACGTTTTTTGCTGAACATCCTTATCAAAATGGCTATGGAGCTAAAGACTTAGATAAAGTTAGTAAAGAATACGATGAGAAATTACCCAATATGAATCATTTAAGGTAATTATTAAATTAATTAATTAATTTAAATACTTAAAAAGGTAATTTTATTTAGATTATTAGCCGCTCCTGTTCATATAGAAGCAAAAGAAACAACAACAAACACAGCATTTTCCGTAAACGGAAAATTAACAATGGCTAAAGTAGAACTGATTGAAAGTGTAACGAACGGCCAAGAAAAGTTAAACATTGTAAGGTTGTTGAGCTTTCATTCCGGAAATCCACTCGAAAGTCCAACCAATTCAAAGCCCCAATTATCTTTGAATTTCAAACACATTGAAAAGACTGGAAAACCTGGCAATTTACATTTATCAGCTCCAAAGACTGAAATAGAGTAAGAATTGGTTGTATTAAAAAATTCGATATGTTAACCTTTTTATTTTTGTAGGATAGCTTTAGATACATGTTCTATAGAATTAGATATCACATTAATTGATCGATTAAGGGCACTCTTAGATCCAACTCCCGTTTGTGTAATTGATAAAGAAGGTAAAGATATATGGAGGATTCCATCAACGACAAGTTTAATTAGTCATTCTGAATCTAAGTTGGATATAAAAATGTCGTCGCCATCAATTTCAGTAAAGTTACGGTAAATATGGCAATATAAGGATAATATAGATGGTTTTGGCTAGTTACTAAGTATAACTTAATTAATTTTTCATTTATTTATTAATTAGCGGCTGAGGCACTGCTACAGCTAGCATATTGGACAACATACAGGGTAGGTCAGTCAAACTGCACAATTTAAAACTATTAAAAAAGTATTATGTAACATAAATTTAATTTTTTTTGCAACAAATGTTAGGTGAAAAGATGAAATTGCATATAAAGCAAAAAAAATCATTTGTTGAGTATTACTTCACAAGGATGGCGCGTCTTCATACACCTTAGACTTAAGATATCCCCATAAAATATAGTCACGTAATGTGGTCAATGTAATCCTAGTTGTGCGACAAGTTGCTCCATATTGTTGGAAACGAGTATTATCATTCATATGTACTTGTGAGATGAAAAAGGTTTTTAGTATTCAAACATATCGCGTTGATGTTATGGTAACTGCATGGCCATCATCATTCTCAAAGAAGTATGAGCCAATTATATACACCTAATTCTTTTTTTACGCGATAGATATGTTCCCAAAAAATTCGTGTAAAAAGAGAATTAGGTGTAAACAATATTAAAAAATTCTTGTTAGAGTTCAGTTAAGAATTTATTACGTGCTTACACATTTTAATTCATTAAATATATTATACTTTGAAAAAAGAAAATATCTGAAATTCATTAATATAAAAAAAAGTGAAAGTAATATAAACATAACAAAATTTTATGCATTGTCATTTTCTGACAATAAACACATACGTTTGCGTAAGACTACAATATCACTGCCATCACTAGAATTATATTGTTCATCATCTTGTGAAATTATTTCTGGATCATCATCTCTAGTCTCCTGTGTTGATAATTTAGTAGTTTTTAGAAGGAAATCAGTCATTAAATATTGTGTTTGATTTCGCGATAAACCGTTATAAAGTTGCCATTAATTGCCATTAATGATTTCAGTTCACGTTGTAATTTTGCAGCTCGTTCTTCATCAAGATCATGTTGTTCAAAATGATTACCTAATTTCCTGGCAAGATCAAGACCTTCTTTAATTAGAGGTGCATTTAAAATGGAAGGATCTTCTTCGTCATTATCGTGATGTGTATAATTTCATTTTCGCTCAAGCTTTTATCAACATAATAATTCCTCTATATCAGCAAATGATAGATCATCGAATCCATCTCCACCAATTGTATGTACCAGCGTTGTGATGTCAGTAAAAGCAGTGTTATTATGGATGACAGGATCAGGATTTTTGCTTTTGACACATTCTGGCCAAATATTTTTCCAACATGAATTCAAGGTTGGTGGCTTTAAGTTAGCTAACGCTAACACAACTTGATTAATGCAGTTCATAATAGAAAAACTTTCCACACATCAATGACTGTTAAATCCACATTATGGGCTAATTTGTCTATCACATCATGTCTATCATTTGAATGAATGTTTTATGTAGTACGATTTAAAAGAGTGGATGACCAGGTGCATTGTCTAGAATTAAAAGGACTTTAAATTTTAGACATTTTGCATTCATGTAATGTCTAATTTCTGGGATGAAGTATTTCTGGAACCATTCTGTAAAGATTCCACTGGTCATCTAGGCCTTTTTGTTTGCTGTCCAGTGAATTGTCAATTTATTGAAATCTACACCTTTCATCGAGCGTGGTTTTAAAGCACGATTTACTAGCAGTGGTTTTAAGATAGTTCTCCTGAAGCATTGGAACAAAACAACAATGTTAGACTTTAAAGCTACTTTAAAACCAATGGCAGTTTTGTGCGATTTTGGAACATAAGTTCTAATCGGTATTTTTTTCCAAAAAAGGCTACTTTCATCTACATCCTCCATCTTCAATCATTTTAAGTTTTTCTAAGTTCAATAATTTTCTAAGTTTTTCAGGAAATTCTTTGGCAGCCAACTCATCTGCAGACTCAGTTTCTTTCTTAATTTTTATATTATGGAGAGCATGTCATTTAAGAAAATCTGTCATCCAACCTGTACTTGCAGCAAATTCAGGTTGTTTTGACTGAGATGAAGTACCTGACTCAACTTCTTTAATCTATAAATGTAGATTCTTAATATTGTTTGCTTGGTAGCAATTCCATCTACTGGTATTCTTTTTTGTGATGTATCTTCAATCCACATTACCAAAGCTTTTCCCACCTTCTCTTTGATAATATCTCTTATGTATAGCACTTATTTTCGTTCCAGAACATACCGATTTTCTGATCGCAGTTTTATTTTTCTAGATCGTTCTTATGGTAGCTTCATGAATACCAAAATGCTTTCCTACAGCCGTTGCGCCTTGTCCTGTTGCAAGTTGATCTAAAATTTTTATTTTAGTACACAATAACAGCCTAAAGCCGCTCGTCTTTCCATCTCGCTCTATTTGCTCTATGGGATTCAAGAAAAATGCATAGAATATTGAAAATCGTGATAAAACAAAACAATTCGTGTAAAAAAAGAACTTTTTTTTCTTTTTAACTCGTGTTAAATCAAATTCGTGTAAAAAGAGGATTAGGTGTACCGTCTTCTTTTTATTGTTTGCCCTTGTTATTAAGTTAAGAGTCCAAACAGAAATGGCTTTCCTACTCGGAACAGGAGCGTGAGGCGGTAAATAAAAATGTCGACGGAAATCGCGCTGTGCGTGCACATAACTTTGACCATTTTCTAAATAAGCTGTATCAGCAAAAGCACATTGCTCACCAGTCTAATTAAGCATGTTGGCTTAATTGTCAAGTGTATTTAAAAACTTCTTTCTTCTTCTATATAAAATTTCATCTTTTGTCTTAATATTTTTTGCAAAAAAGAATTAACTTTATGTATTATAATACTTTTAGTTATAATAGTTTTAAATATTGCGGTTTGACTGTCCCATTCTGTGCTATAATGCCTCGGCCGCAAGCGACCTTGTCTTAGTTAGGATGGAAAGTATTATGTTATTTTCGTAAGCCGACGTCACTAGCGCCGTGGGGCTACAATTGCTACCCTATTAAACAACGTATGCTCTAATGCCTCGGCTGTAAGCGAGCTCCGCTTAGTTGGGATGGAAAGTACTGTGTTATTTTATTAAGCCGAGGTTGCTTGCGGCCGAGGCGCTACAATTACTTCTGTATTACACAACATAAACTCTAATGCCTCGGCCGCAAGCGATCTCGTCTTAATTAGGATGGAAAGTACTAAGTTATCTTCGTAAGCTGACGTCACTTGCTGCCGTGAGGCTACAATTGCTACCCTAGTGAGCAACGTATGCTCTAATGCCTCGGCTGTAAGCGAGCTCGGCTTAGTTGGGATGGAAAGTATTGTGTTATTTTATTAAACCGAGGTTGCTTGCGGCCGAGGCGCTACAATTACTTCTGTATTACACAACATAAACTCTAATGGATGGCAAGTATTGAATTATTTTCGTAAGCCAACATCACTTGCGGCCGTGGGGCTACAATTGTTATCCTATTCAACAACATATGCTCTAATGCCTCGGCCGCAAGCGACCTCGGCTTAATTAAGATGGAAAGTACTACGTTATTTTCGTAAGCCGACGTCATTTGCGGCCGTGGGAATACAATTGCTACCCTATTGAACAACGTATTCTCTACTGCCTCGGCTGTAAGCCACCTCGGCTTACTTGGGATGGAAAGTACTATGTTATTTTATCGCGCTACAATTCCTTCTGTATTACACAACATAAACTCTAATGCCTCGGCCGCAAGCGACCTCGGCTTAATTAAGATGACAAGTACTAAGTTATTCTCGTAAGCCGACATCACTTGCGGCCATGGGGCTACAATTGCTACCCTATTGGACAACATATATGCTCTAATGCCTCGTCCGCAAGCGACCGCGGCTTAATTGGTATGAAAAGTAACTTATAACTAGCCAAAAATCTTTATTAATTAATCTTAAAATTAATAATTTATAATTTACAGCTTTCCTATACCAGATTTAAGAGCACATAGTGATCCAAATCGCGTTCCATGGTATAAAAGAAACGTTAGACTCGATTATTTAACACTTCAAATAAGTGACGCAACGCTTTTCACATCGATACAAACCTCCCAAATATTTCAAAAGTACACATTAGATTTCCGAGTTTTAGATATTCTTTATCATGAGAATGAATTGGTTAGTCCTTTGGCCGTAGCGCGTGTTGAAAGCGATCAAAAATTAATGGAATCGCTTGGATATAACGGGATAACGGCGTTTCCGCAGTTAATTTTAAAAATAAATCCGATTAAAAATTCTGATATTGAACTTCATCATATTCCCGAAGCCGAATTTGACACGATGTGTCAATCGATTTATGGGAATCTTATGGGTGAACATAAGAAAGAACCAAGTCCTTTCAGTTCTAAAAGGGAAATTCACGAGAGTGATAATCCGCATATGAAAACTCAAGCTGAGACACCGGGCGATAAGCAAGAAATGGAAGATTTCGTAAATAATACTTTATCGAATTCTTTAATTGAGTTAGAAATGCATCTTCCTGTTGTTTCGTTACAATTACTTACTAAACATATTTATGAAGTTATTTATAATCGTATAAATAGTGATTTATTGTTATGGGAACCATCTGCTCCTAGAAATTGTAACACTTACACCAACGACAATATAATACCAAGTAAATTGGTTTCATTCTTGTGTGATAATAATAATTTATTAAAAAATTAATAATTTTAGATTTTACCACTCATGAAACTGATACATTTGGAATGTGCAAAAGCAACATAAATTATGGTTCGGAATCGGAAAGTGACGAAGAAAGCGACCCGACTCAAATTTATTATTCAGCTTATGAACGTTCGATGCGAACACCACGTCAAACTTGTAAAGATGTGGTTAGACAATCGCAATTTGCTTTAAATTTACACATAAAATTGGGATTAGTCGGTATGAATACTCCAGTGAGAGATCTTCATTCGAACGTGATTCCAAACCAACAGGGTGAATTTGTCTTTCAATTACACGACATGACGATTTTTAACGTTAGCGGCTACAATGGTGACAATAATTTAGGATACGTTTGTGCAACTGCAAGAAAAGCTGAAATGTATCACTGTGGTAAGATGAAATAAATTTAATGAATGTTGACCGGTTAATAATAATTCTTTGTAGATATGAGATCTATTCCAAGTCAATCACCAGCTCTTTTGGAAATCGATTCGATTTTAGGAAAGCATTTGTACCCAACTATTTATAAAAGTGACAATGGTGTTCAACAGGAGTGTACAAATCGCGGTGGAAAACGGGATATGTTGTCTGTTGCTGTTAAGGTTCAGGCGAATCATGAAACACATCAAGTAAAGGTAAATTAATTAACAAAAAGTTAATTAAATGTTTCGTAATTGAAATTATTTTAGACAATTACGGTAGCTATAGGAATCGATAAAGCAACATTAAAGCACCGAATGTGCCTAGAACCAAACACTTGGATAACACAATTAATAGATTTCTTCAATGTTATCGACTATACAATAACCGGTTATAACGCGAAAGAGGTTTTAACGGAGTTGCATTTACATTTATGGGATTGTGCAATCGATTACAGGTATTTTTAAATATAGTGCGACCTCGATAATCCGGACTATTTAAAACCGCGGTGATCTGGAAAAGTAAATAATTCGGTTGCGGAAGCGAGACAACTTTTTTATTGAAAAGCGACATATTTAATGCAAAACAACTAAAAAATACAATTCACATAAAGATTATTTACAATAGAAGTGAACAGAAGGATATTTTATTCATTTATTTACACATTTAGGGCAATATCATTTTCTTTTGTCCACTTTTTGCACACATTAAAACTCTTCCAGTAGTAACAAATCTTCATCATTTTCAAGCCAAATACGTATTTCTGCATTCGTGAGATTCTGTTCAGTGAGATCATCATATCTGAACCATCTGATGAATATTTACGAATTATTAAGAATAAAATGCTAAACGAACAATTTCAGCTTTAACTGTGCGGTAGTTTACCATAAAGTTCTTCATCCAAGGAAAGCAGATTCTGCCACAATTGACTCAGAGGAAACAGATCTTCAGTGTCTGAGTTGGTATTTGCCGCGTGAGACATAATTTGGTGCCAGCATTTCTCCAAGATTTTGGGGGAGGCTTTTTCCCAAGCTTTGCATAGTAAATATAATTAATAATATAACTTATAATAATTTAACAATGTCTTCTTATATTATCTAATAACGATTAGATAAAATATGGGCTAAAAGACATTTCTGATAAAATAATTTTGTCAGTTTAATGGCATTTTGGTCCATAGGCTGCAAAAGTGCCGTACAATTTGCTGCAGGAAATGTATATACAGGTGTGTCAAATGTCTGGAATATAGCCAATAACTAGCTAACAGTTCAACCACTGTTAGCTAAATATAAAACCTTTAAAGGAACAACTCTCAGTTTAAACAGCACATGTGGAAAGTTAATTAAGTATTTCACTTATGTAAGTTATTAATTTTGATTAATTTATTAATTTTATGCATAATGATGACAACTAACAATTTAACACAAATGGTTGTTTATATTAATTAAGAGCATGACATGACATGTCAACATGAAATTATCCAGGAATTTTAAGACCGGGTTTTCTCTAAATAGCAGAATTGAACAAAACGCTAGACAGCACACATGGAAAACTAATATTTTCCACTAACTTGTATATCTTTCCACACTTGCCTTTTGCTCATGTAGAAATCCGACATACACGTTAATGAAAAATCTTAGTTTTCTCACTTGTACTGTAATATAAATACTATTACCTAATTGTGCTTGTACTTGTGTCTGATAGCACTTCCACAAAAAAATTGTACGTGTAATCACTCTCTGAGAGTTCTCACAGAGCAAGTCGCTGAAGTAGCAAGTAATCGCGACATATATCGCTTGCGTGTGTAAACAAGTTGGGAGAGCTGTTTAGGAAGTTAGAATTTATTTCCGTCTGGTAGGAAGTTTTCGTGCAAGTGAATAGTGGAAGTGAGTAGGAGGTTTTTAAAATGGAGCGCAAACGCGTATGGTCAAAAGAGGAAACTTTGACTTTAATAGGTGTTTTTCAAGAGTTTCCCGAATTATGGCAAATAAAATCAAAAATATGCAGGGATAGAGATAGGAAACAAAAGGCAATAAAATTTATAGCGGATAAATTTGATACAAGCGAAGCTGAAATTCAGTAAACCTCAATGTCAGAGCCAAGCTTTCTTTTGGTTTTATGGATTCACTCATGTTTGTATCTAATTTTGCTATTTTATCCGAAATTAGTTGAAGTAAAAAGTTAAAGTCGGTTTTTGACATACGCAGAAAGTTTTTGAATGTTGCTGGATCTTCACTTCTTAATTCATTTAAGAACGTTGCATCAACACCAAGAACAGACCTTCTGTTTATTCATTCTGTGACCCATATTCTTTTTCTCGTCTTTTCTCTCCGACGTTTTCGTGAAATAGCAATAAGAACAGCAGCGGCCGCAGCTCTCTATCTGCGGCGAGACATTTTTTAACACTAGAATATATTATATCGTACACATACGCGCATGCAGTCACTTACTGTCCCTAGAGTACTTGCAGAAAATTTTCAGACTGTGTAAACGCGCCAGCAAGCACTTGCCGCAAGTTCTCTCTATAGAGCGCTTGCAGAGAGAACTTGCACACAAAATTTGCTTAGATGTAAACGCTAGCGCAAATTACTCTCAGAAGTTAAAATTAAATTACTCTCGCAAGTTACTATCCCGTGTAAATGACGCTTTATGTAACGTCACTTTCTTTATAACTGGTGATGTAATGAATTCCATTACCTAACTACAAATTGATAAGTTGACATCTATCACTAATAGAATAAGTCAAGTTTTGAACAAAAATTGCTTTTTCAATGGAATTAGATAAAATTTTGTACTTAACACGTTATGAAACTGCTAATTTTGTTTAACTTACGTAATTTGCAGAACTCGCTCGCTTGTCTTTTCATAACTGGTTACGTAAATAACTATAACACCGGAAGTGTTAAAAACCTTCCAAAAAGTGGACGACCGAAGACAGCTACCAATAACGAAACTACATTAAATGTGTGTCACTGTACCCATTATCATTAATTTTTCATAATTGTTGAAACTGTCATTTTTTTTGACATTTAAAGCTGTCAACGGTACAAAAAACAATACAAACATGCAAATATCGCCAAAAAATGTTGTTCTAATCGTTTTATCTATGACTTATTCTAATATTTTCATTCCTGTACTAATTAACATTATACCCCTATAATTGTTCCTCCTATCCATAATGTTCCATAACAGTCCCTCCTATTTTCCTTATTTTTGTATATTGGTACAATTAGGGATTTCTTTCAGTCCTCTGGTATTTGTTCCTCGTTCCATGTACTTGAGCATTTCTGTTGTTACCTTGTCCCAGCCTGGAATTTCTTCATTCTTCAGAGTGTTTATCGCTTCCTCCAATTCAACAAGATGAGAATCTCTTTCATGTTCATTCTTTTTTTCCTATTGTCTACTTTTTGCTATATTTATTTCTCTGCACAGAACATCTTGGAAGTATTTTCTCCGCCTATCTATTATTTCTTTTGCGTCTATCAATATCTCTCCTGTTTTGTTGAAGATGTATGCTCGTACATCATTGGACTTTTCTATTCTTACCCATTTTAATACCCTATAGAATAATTTTTGGTTTTCCTTACTTCCGCTTTCCATCCTATTGCCAAAATTTTCCATTCCTTCTTTTTGGCTTTTATCACCATTCGTTTTACGTTCCCTCTTTCTATTTTATATCTTTCGTGGTGGAAGAAATAATGTTGGAAATTGTTTATCCTCACTAGTCAGCTCTTCTGTAGTTCTATAATCTTAGGCGTTATTGATGATTAGCAGACCTTTTTCAGGCAAATTAAGACTGTCTAAGAAAATTGCTGTTGTGAACAGAAATGTTTACGTGTTTAAAAGCCCTCGGATTTTTTACCTTTCCTATCACTAACAGCTTTAATTTTTGTGAACCATCAGCATTACAACACGCTAGAAATATAACGCATTCTTTGCTTATTTTTTGACCTAGTGCGGTCTTCTTCTGAGTCCGAACCAACGTTTCTTCAGGCAGCATCTTCCAATACACAACAGATTTTTTAATAGGTCCGAGGTTTAATTCTTTTATCTACTTTCCGAATACGGAAAGTTCAATTGGGAAAGGATAGACGGAATTTGATCAGTAAATAGTTTTTCGCCACACACTTTTAAAATACGCAGACCATGTCTTTTTTTGAAGTTTGAAATGCGCCTCTGCTAGCTCTAAATTTATCATTTCCATAGGTTTCAGTATAAAACTGCAAATGCACAAAATTGGAATGTGTCTTGATCGTTGCGTACAAAACAATGTATACAAATGTGATTGCATATTTAAATATTCTGCTTTTTGTAAGGTTTTTCTGGGAGCAGAACTGAAATCACATTTAGTAATGAATCTAAAAGAAGTTCCATAGTCCAAAATCATCTTTAAATTAAACATGGTGATGGTCCTCCTCCGTATTCATTTGCCAACACTTTTCCACTTTCACCACGAACTAGTTTTTCTAATATATCGGACTTTTGTTTTATTGTTAGCGTGATATATTTTCTTCTAGAAGGTATTGTAATACGTATGTACTACATGACCATCAACAAACAACTAAGCAATCATTAAACTTCAGTCGTGATGCTTTGCAAGCAAATCAAAGACACATACTGCTTATACGAATCCCAGATATTATACTCGCCCGAATTTATGAAGTTAGGGGAATCCCTCACTATCGATTTCAGTTTTGCTATGGGTATAATATGTACTTTGAATGAAGTAGACGTGTAAAAAACGCAGATACGGATTATAAAGTACACAATGTATTTGAAATACTTGTCCGGATTATTGAATGAAGATTCGGATTATCGTGGTCGCATTACTCGCTGCATTTTATAATTTTTTAATACATTTTTTTTTAGACCAAAATTTTTACCATTGCGTTCTGTAATAACCCTAGGAAGTTTTAGTTTATCTTGCCATTTAGCAGCGCAATCATGTTCTTCGACCCTTCGTTTCTTAGCTGAAGACTGCGGTTTATTTTTAAGTGAAAAAGCGCCCCCGCGTAATGGAAAACCTTCGGAAGCGGCAATCGATTTGCGTCGCGATTACGTGAACGTTGTGCAATTGGGGCTTTTCGAAATTAGCTTAAAACTTCATGACGAAAAAAGCGGAATTTTTCCTTTGGTGGATTTAAGGGCGGCTAATAATATATTACATATACGAACATGTGCGGATAGCGGCCGGGCTTTAATGCAATTAATCACATATCTCGCTGCTTATGGAGATACGGTTAAAAACGACGATACCTTAATACCTTGCAGCAGTCCTAGTCACCAACCAGAACCTCAATTGGTCCCTATTGAACCTACTATTATCAGCAAACTTTCTGATAGTCAACATGAACAAATCAATAAGGAGATTTGCGAAGCTATGGAGGATGTTGATGAACGATTAGAACGTAAATATTTTATTATTTAAGGATATTTCGTATAAAACTGTTTTATAATTCTTTATTTAAGAACAAAACATATCAGATGTTCAAGGAACCGGGGCAAAATTATTCTTTTTTCCTGATGAAAAGAACCGAACAACACTCGACTCGAACTTCACGCTCGTCAAATCCGAAAAAGGTGACGTAATACCTCTTAGAACAAATTTGAGCAGTGATACTGATGACGAATTTTGTTTCATCGACTTAGTAGGTACCAGTAACACGGTGAGTCACCCCCCAAGAAATCTCCCCTTCAATTTAACTCTTTTCGTTTTTACTCCAGTCAAATTACTCCGCACCGGAAATTAATTGGAAAACGGAAGTTCCGGTTCGTTTAGTCGACCGGCATTTCAACAAACCAGGAAAAATCGACTTTTTAAAGACACCAAATAGTTATCCCCAACCAGTAACTAGATACACCTTACGAGAATTGACTCTAACTTGGGATATGTATGGAGGAAATGATTTTAAAATTAACGAAAAAGAAGTTCAAAAGAAAACCGTTAATTTTGCCGACACCGCAACCGTTAATTTTTCAAACACACCAGCTGGAGAGGTTGTATTTACCAAAGCGGAAAACAAAAAGAAACAAAAAGTTGGATGGCCATTATGCGGTGGAGTAAATCGAGATCAAAACGTTTTAATGCAGCTTCATTTAAATAAGGTATAATTTGGGATACTAACTGTTTAATCGCATTAAATGAATTTAATTAGGTTCGTTTCCAACATGATTTATACCCTGATCACACAACACAAGCATCCCGCCAAGTACTTTTAATAACTGAAATTGAGGTTAAAGATAAATTGGCCTGTAGTGAAATCAATAAATTTTTGTATGAATATAGTACAGAAGAGAATCCAAAAAGAAGCCATTCTCATATGGTACGATAAAAAAATACTTTTCCTCAATCGATTCTGTTAATTATAATTTTAGCTTTCCGTGAAAGCGATTCACACAAGACCAGATCCCGCGTTCAAAACTGAAGAGTGTGAATTAAAAATTTCAATGCTTCCGCTTCGGTTAAACATCGATCAAGATTCGTTTTTATTTCTCGTTAATTTCTTTTCGGAAATGACCAGTTTGCCGGAAGATAGCGTTGAAATTCAGATTCCCTCGAAACATTCGACTCCAACCCATCAACCACCAGTTATTTCAAAATCGCGTAATGATCAAAAAACCAGTGAAACCAGCGATATTAATGAGCAAGATCAGGATTTGTTGAGTTTAAACGAAGAGAATCCCGCGAAGGAAGAATCATTAACTACAAATGTCGTACCAGATGATTGCATTCAAGATTCATCTCCGATTTTCTTTAAAAGCGTTATGTTTTCCCCGGAGGTTTCCATTCGTATCGATTATCATGGTAAAAGGGTTGATATGAGTCATGGGCCTTTGCCTGGGCTTCTTATGGGAATAGGACATTTAAATTGTTCTATAATAAAACTAAAAGAATTAATTAATTCGCGTGGTATTTTGGGGATGGATAATTTATTCCAGTTTCTTTGGTCAAAATGGTTAGAAGATATTAAAAAGAATCAAATTCCGGGTGTTTTGGGTGGAATCGGTCCTATGCATGCTTTACTTCAACTGGGTAAGTAGTATAAGTTAATATTTATTTTTAATTTTATTTAATACTTTGTTTTAAAGTCCAGGGAATTTGGGATTTATTTTGGATGCCAATTGAACAATATCAAAAAGACGGCCGAATCGTTCGTGGTATTCAAAGAGGTGCAAATAGTTTTACTAAATCTACTCTTGTTGCTACTTTAGAATTGGCTTCCAGAATTATACATTTAGTACTTGTAAGTGTTTGATTTTTATTTAATTTTTCAGTTTTTTCTTTTTAATTATTTTTAAGATAACGGCTGAAACTGCATTTGATATGTTATCTTCTGGAAAAAGTATCAAACGTTTACGATATAATCAACCTCAAGATTTACGTGAAGGTGTTTCGTATGCATATAACGTCGTTAGAGAGGTAATTATTATATAGGTAAAAGGGTCATATAGAAGAGATGGTTTTGAAAATTGAAATCTAAAAAAAAATATCTTATCCATTACGATTTTTTTTTAAATGTAGAAGATCTAAAAATCTATCTTTTGCTGTTGCAAACACGAAAGGGTTAATACGTGTACTTATTAACATATTGTGGTAATGTTTGAGTGGTTAAAGCGAAAATGTATGCCAAGTTCAACATTTTCGGAATTAGACACAACTTTTAACTATAATAAGTCACCCTGTAACATTTATTTGGCAAATGAGGCTGTATGTGTGTTTGAGATTATATTATGTGCTTAGGAGAATGTGGAAGAATTTATAAGAGATGATAAAAGAACTACCTTTTTGTTTCTTAAGGGGTAATAGCAGTGTAGAGGCCTGTTTTCAAAGGTTATCTTTAAGATTTTTTTTTTAACTGGGAATATTAAGGCTTATTGTTGCATCTTAAAAGCTATATTCATAAATTTCGTGAAATGTTTTTTTTTTAATAGTCTTACAACAGATTAAATCCAGGTTTGGTTTTTTCGTCGCGCTCTTCTATGCGATATATAGAAGACGCAAATCATAACCTAGAATAGAAAACGAAAGTTCTTTTCAAAGTTTAGCTCAAAATTTAAAGAAAAACGTAGCGGTTTGTCAAAGAATTAATTTTTGTAAAAATGATATGCCTTTAAAGATTACGAAGTGATTTTCACGAAAAAATTTCGCCGAAAATTATTCATAATAATCAATATTTCGAAAAATCTACGCTTTTCCTTAAATAATCTATTTCTGAAGATGCAGTTAAGATCTGAAGTTAATCTATCAAAAATAGTAAATGTTATTTGTCGCGCAAGTTTGAAAAATGTAGTTTCGAGAAAAAATGCTTTAAAGTTTTAAAACTCTAGAGTTCATATATAAATTTAAACAAATGAGTTTCTATAGGATCTTACCATTAGTCAGCTATTCCAGCACCATAAAGTTGACCCTCAATGTTGCTATTTTTTTCTTCTCGCAATTTTCTGGTCGTTGTTAGGGATTTCGCTCGCTTTATTGCAGAAATTGTAACAGTTATAGCCAATCGTTATTTCCATAAGCTCCATTATTTTTAAAACTACACTCAGTCCATCGTTAAAAATACTAACAGCAACATCTGTACTTAAATCAAAAATTTTTTTAACGCTTGATGTGGCCTTTGGAGCAATGGACCATGCTAATGAATTAAAGCTTTCATTGTTATTTTGAGTGTATCCTCCCATGCAACGCTCAAGCAAATACTCTCTATTTAAATCTTCATAGATAGGTTGAATAGCTCCAAAAACTTCCGGTTTCATTGGATATTTATAATTATCTAAGGCTCCTTCAGCAAAAGCTACTTACCACGCACACCACGCTTCTCGTCTGTTGACAATTTATGAAATAGAGTTGCTCAAATATCATTCTTCATATCTTCTATTGAATTAGGATTACGCCGAATTGTTAAACCATAATATTTACTTAAATCGTCAATAAGTTTACCAGTCAATTTACCCTTTCCACTAAACCCTTTGTTTGATTTTTTAACGTTACGCAATCCAGTTCACATGCGTTTTTCCACGTGATCAATGCTTTCTTTTTTTTCTGCACACAGTGTTTCTTCTACTGTTGCCATCGCCGATGTAAGAAATGTATTTAACATTATACAGACTAAGGGAACGTATAAACATCTCGATTACTGAGTTTATTTCCATTTTTCCTGCAGAACCTTTATACTTTGACTGGCAAACTGTCTTATCGGTTTCAAGGCATTCCGCATACTCTAACGCTATCTTTTTTATTTTCCCAAGTTTCACAACTTTTGCAGTACCTACTTAGATTTAACGATGATGTCGACAACTTTTCCGTCAGCCAACTAAAGAAGCTAAGCCGAAAAGCGATGTGAATCCTCGTTTCCTCCAAGACCCATCACCACGGACAGTCAGTTTCTTTTCACACTGCTCCCTCCATACTAATTTGACACACCGAACGTTCAGCGACCGAAATTGTATCCACAGCAGTTGTATAAGCGGTTTGAAATATCGGTCGAAGCAGATCCATGAAAGCACAGAACTTTATCAATCCATTCATACCGATTCCCAATAAACACATTGCTAATACTATTCGTCTAGTCAGTTCATACGCATATCTAATAAATGGACTATTTGGAACACTATTAATATTGTCACACTTTTCGCATGTAACACTTATTTTTAAGCTCAAGCCGCGCATTGAAGTGTGACTAAAAATCACTCTAGAATAGCACTTATGGCACACTACAACGCTCGAGATTGCAATGAACACGGCAACAAAATTAACGAAGCAGTAGCCAAATGATGGATGAACATTAATATCACCTGCAGTCTTCAATTTTTTGGCAGACGTGCTCACTCCTTCAACGTCTTTCATACGTCTTCGATGAGAATGCCAGCTAGACTCTCTGGTACCTTTTCTTCCAGAATACACAACATTTTTGTCACTCATGGTTGGGTTGGGTTTAACCGTAACGTCTTTTTAACTAGCGTCGTTCACAACAAAAGATGCACAAACGGTAAGAGCTGGATATTATTACTACATCATGTGTACAATTAAAGGCTGGTAACTAGGCGACGTGAAAATCACTAGGCAATGTGAGCAGTCAGGGGATTTGTACCTATATACCGATATATGTATTTGTTTACCATCTTAACTGTACACTTAACTTTTATAGTCAATGCGTAAAGTTATTCTTCTGGCATACATTGATGGGTTGGGTACGCTTTCAAGAGAGAGTAAACATCTTGTTAGAATGGAAACTCATACTGAAACCTCAACTGAGTCGTTAAATTATAACAAGTAAAATTGAAACGAAATTGATTGAATTAATACCAATATGATCACCCAACCTAACCTGAACGCAATTCAACTTGATAGAAACCAACCCAAAAGCAAATCAACTCAACCTGAACGCAATTCAACATGAGAGGAACTTGAACGCAACTTAACCTATTAGAAATTAACCCGAAGGTAATTCAATTTAACTTATTGAACTCAAACCGAGAGCAACCCAAACTGAATGTTGACTTGCATTCCCGAAAGCAGCCTTTTTTACAAAGCCGGGGAAAATCTGCAAACAGACACCTGATTTGAGATGGTGAGAGATCAAGTAGTATCGGGTTCGATTGACCCCACTCCGACCAACTAAAAAACCCTTTCCTCGACTTCTTTTCTTGATCACAGGGGTGAAAACCCCTTAGAACCATCTCATCGAAGGACTACCTTTCATCTTTTCCTTCTCACGCGTCCTACACTTCAGGCAGTGTCTCCATCTGGCTAGAGGAGCCCATTGAAGACACCCCCTGTTCCCAGTCCTCTTCCTCTCCCGCGTGTGCGTCGTATATGCCATCCCTCACACCTCATTAAATAACCATCCATCTTCCTCCTCACGACATTTAGTACCTCCAGCAGTGTCTCCATCACTCATATTCGCGTTTAGAACAAAGATACCAATTACTTTTTGTAGGGAGGCTCGTTGAGGACCTCCTGCTCCCACTTATTTTCTTCAGATAATGTCTTTTCTTCTTTTTTTTTGTATCAACGACAGACCTCACAAACTCCTGCTCGCCGAAAGCAATTCAATCTGACAGCAACCCAACCTGAAAGGAACAAAACTAACAAGTAAAGTGGTTTGCACACAGAGCTACTGAAAAGGAACTAAACTGGTTGTTAACTTGGGTCACTAACCAGTTTCTAACTCATTAGTCTCCACTCACGAAATTACTCATCAGCGATCAAAACCTGTAGTTTGTTCAGTTTAGTCATAATTGCAGAACTATTCATGTTGTTGATGAAGCATTCCCATAGATACGATATCTGATGAGACCCTACCCGTCAAGGATATTGGATAACGTGAAAAGGATATTCAATTATAGGTTGAGTCGAGGAAGAAAATCAATTGAATTTGCTTTTGGGATGACGTGCAAGAAGTTCGCTGTTTTGAATGGTCCAATCCGCATCTGAGAAACTGAAGCTGTGAAATTCGTCAACAAAGCAGCTTGTGTCCTTCACAATTTTGTGAGAAGACGAAACTTCCCTACATGCCAAGTGATACAACTGCTGCGGTAGACGACCACGTCATGGTGCAGCATCTATCACAGCATCTGATTATACAAAACAACTCTCGTGCAGCAGATCTCAGAGGCTGCTTAGCTAACCATTTCCTTAACTCGCAAGATTTTCTGCCCTGGCGGTGGAAATACTCGATATGAGATTGCCAGTGTAGTACCTACTTTTTACTACTAGTTAATTGCGAAATTATGTATGAAGACACACTATTTTTGTATTCCTAAAAGTAAAATAATGAGCATACATGTTCAATTTGACCACGTTGCCGATCTCGACCCACGCCTTTGAGTTTTTCCACTTCCGCCACGAGTAAAAAGTTGAATTATTGGTCATTCATCCTGTTGGATTACTAGTGATTAGTTACAAACTAGTTTCCGTGCATCACAGAGGAGTTCGCAATCAGTAGCGCCGTAGGTGGCGTCTAATTTGATTATACATAGGAAGCAACTCTAAGGAAGCTCTAAATTGGTTAGTAATTCGCGTTTCTGATCACTTCCTTTTTAGTGGCTCTGTGTATAAACAGCCTAATTCAATTTTAACGAATGGCAATGCTGCTCCACCGTAACCCGATCGCAAAGCTATTTGAAAGTAATTTAAAGGTGGCTACACAGGTAACTGCAAACTTGACAAGTATGCATGATCAATCTTTTTGTATGCTTTAGCGTTTGTAGGATAATTTTGCACAAACATTTTGCTTGTGCAATCCGCTTGATGATGGATTATATTTTGATCATGCAAGCTTGCGTCAGCGAAAGCGCACGTGTGTACCAAGCACACTGCTTGATATGTGGCCAAACGTAGGAATTTCTCCCTACGTGTACGGATTTTTCAGTCTAAAAATGGCATCATATTCTTAACAGCGAAGAATATCAATTTTTTGTAACAAAATATTCATTCTTGCGTCAATAATTTATAATTCTTCGACACTTGTTCAAGCATACTTGTATCGTGTGGTGTCGAAGGGAAATTTTACATGCTTGTACAAAAAGATTGATCATGCATGCTTGTCAAGATGGCAGTTACGTGTGTAGCCACCTTTACACCAATGCAAGTTAATCAAGCCTAAAAGCAACTCAACCCAAAAAGTACTAAACCATTAAGTTATCCAACTTCAAAGAAAGCTAATGCAATCCTACTGCGATCTGACTCCAATCGAATACAACTGGAAGCTACCTCATCTAGGAGCAAGTCAATCCAACTTGAAAACAACTCAACCCGAAGATAAGCTTTTTTTAATGAAATATCTAACAAATTAACACTAATGAGCTATTTGGTTCTAATTTAATCTACTATGGTTACATAACAAAGTACTTATCTGACACTGCCTTCACGTGACTATGTTTTAGTACCTTTTATTACCTTCCTTCACTACCACTTTCACCATTCCAGTTCAAATGGTTTTATTCTTTTCAATCTTAACGAAGCTCTCGTCATTTAGGAGCCTCAATGTTGATGTGGTGGGCACAGCCCCGTTCTAGTGTCCATATTCTTTGCCGATACTTTTAGGTCCTTGCGTTTGAACAACCTTTAGTAATTCTTTACCTTTGGTGGTGATTAGCCCCGATTCCCAGTGTGTGTGTTTTGAGAATATTAATTATACTCACCCTTAAGATAAATCTTAATGGTTTTGACAGATACTATCAGCTCAAAATCCGTAAAGCGTATTGTACCAGGTTGGCCAGAGATACCAGAACGCGTTTTAAAGGGAAAAGAGCTAGAGACTGAAACGAGTAATTTAACTCAAATATATTGGTTTTCCTAATGAAACACTCTGATTATGAAAGTATGTAAGGATGTATTGTTAGAGCATGTCAGGAGTGTTTACTTTTCATACGTTAAAATCCTCCGTCTGACCAACCTTGTACAATACGCTTTAGAGACCTTGCTATCAGCCGACGTTTGTTTCGAAATTTCGGCCGTTTTACATTTTGATACTTTTTAACTTATAAAAATAACTTATATAATAATATAAATTATCGATGGATACTATATTGGCACCACAAAAATTTAAATTTTATTACCAATAAAATTTTAGTGATTTATTATTAATGCTTTTATCGTCAGTCAATAATAATTTTGTGAGTTTACATAAACTACTATAGAAATTAAAGTTATAATGACAACATTAACAAGTGTGGATTACTAAAACAAGTGCAGATTTTCTCATATAATTGGACAGGTAAAGTACAACACCACCACATAATTATATTTGTTTACTTTTTTTCAAAACCACTCATCTTTATATCTTTGTTATTTTGCATTGTATTTATGATGTGAATTAAAATTGTTTAGGGCTTTGGTGAAGCAGCTTCAAATTTGGTTCATGTAGCTTCTCACGAACATGAACAAAAAGGTTACACTGGTGCGGTTGGTGGGATTCTTCGTCAAATTCCTCCTACAATTATCCAACCGATAATAATAGCTTCCAACGCAACTAATAACGTTTTGGGAGGAATGCGGTGTCAATTAGCACCGGACATTCGACAAGAAGTGATTGATAAATGGAAAAAGGATGAAAGTAAAAAATGAAAACAGATTTTATAACATATTTTTGTATGTGATTTACAATTAGCGTAACTGTAAGAATATCGATTTCGCTCTAAGTTGAATTGAATTTTCCCGAATATTGCTCGGTTTACAGAATTGTTGTTTTTTTTTGCATCTACCTAATTTTTACTTATTATTATTATTATTGAGTGTTTTGTTTAAATATGTTTAAGGAATACTTAGCGTTTCTAGCGGACCATTTCGAACTTATTTATTTTTAATTGTGATATCTTGTAGACGAATATAAGTGTATTTTTTATGTGCGACTTATTGCTGTGCAATTAAATAAAAAACTGTTTATAAATCACATTCAATATTGCCATGGTAACACCCACAGAAAATACACTAACCTTTCTGTCATAATATCCTGCGTCAATCCCTACTATTAAAAGATTAATAAGTTAAAAAGATAAAATATGGCCGCAGTTGAAGGAAAATCCACCGTTGGTGATTCCCAATTAACGGGAGACACTAGTGAATTCGAAAGCACGATGGGTTATGAATACGGTTTTGATGAGTACGAAGGAGAAGAAATGGAGGAGCAAGAACATGTTTTTTCAATTTTTGATGTATTAGACGCACCGAGGATTTTACCAGAACCAATACAATTAGACGAAAGTCATCTTGACCAACTCAGCAAAGAGTTGGGTTTAATTCGATTTTGTTGGCCTGATATTAAAGATCCAGTTTTTGAAGATCGAATTAATTTCCCGGAGAGTTATCTCAAAAATAGCGAAAAAGAGAAATTATTACTTTATTATGCTGAGTCGTTCCGGAGACAATTCCATAACGTGTATCCTTTACGGAAACCTCTTCTTTTATCAGCCGAAAATGAGTGTGGAATGCAGGTAAGGAATTAATTTACTTTATAAAATATATAGTTATTGATTAGATTATGTAAGATTAAAATTAAAGGTTTCGATGTTACATTAGAGTTTATTGAAGCCATTAATCTATAGATGTCGCTATATAATACTTTGTATGAATTAAATTTAATTTATTTTTTTATTTATTAAGATTATTTACTTTGTTTTTAGAAAATGGTTTGTACGACAATTACCCCGACTATGCTACCTTACAACGAGACGGACGATTGGGAAAAGTGCTCATCTTTCGTTGGTGACCACTTGATATACGAAGCCCTGGAAGCACCAACCCTGATCGTAAGTTATGCATGACCTAACCGTGTCCGAACGCGCCCGTAAATAATTCAGACAATTTAAACGGGCGAGAGAACTGCACTTCTATCTACAGGGAGTGCAATAAAAATGTTGTCGATAAATATCAACATTTCTCCTTTTTTAGTTGGTTTAGAAAGTCTTTTTAAAATTTAAACTTTACTTTGGATAAAAGTGATATGAAAATAATTAAGATTTTGTGTGTTAACTCAAAATTATTAATTGGGTTAATATTATTTAACACATTTGCGTCATAAACTCAGATATGTCCGGATTTTTCCTGATCATTATGATCGAAGCGCAAATATGGGAGCTCACCTATACATTAATAAAGTATGTAGTAATATATACATAATTATTATCAGTGATCGAATTAAAAAGCACCAAAAAGGCATTAAATTTTGACAAAAGATCATTAAAAAGGTAAATTTTTTTTAATAAGGCATAAAATACCGAAAAGGGTATAAAAACTAATAATACACCAAAAAATGTGTATTTTGAACAAATTTATATAAAAAAGCCGAAAATGTGATCTAAAAAAATAGAATGCTGTTTTATTTTCATCAAAAATATAGCTATTTTCAAACCAAACTTTTTTTTATAAAAAAAACTACTAATCCCAAAACAAAACTAATTATTAAATGCTGTTCCATAAAATGTTCCATTGTAAAGTTATGTCTTCTATCACTTAATATATTCTTGTAAGCCGAAAAGTTTCTCTCTACGTCGACACTTGTAATTGGTGCATATTTGAATTTTGCAATTAATGCGGGCCATAATAAAATCTGTAACAATTATATCATTTAAAATTGATGAATTTTCTGTACTCTATTATCTAAAGATAAATCCTGCTTGTCAAGCGATTTTATAGAATCACTTACTTTATAATTATAATTGGTATTTATAAATGCCAAATTATTTTATAATTCTACTTCTTTTAATACAACCTGACAATCTTGTATTGCATTATTAGCTGTAGCTGGAAATGCATTTACTAATATTTTGAAACTGTCAAAGGTCTTTGTATACTATACGTCTAACCATGTTCCCCATCTTGTTAGAACTGGTTGTGGAGGGTAATGGGGTATTTGGTAATTTGAATATTTTTTATTTCCTGAATAACTTCTGTACACTGAATTAATATAATTCTTCCGAAAATGGCTTTCAACAAGAATGTTCAGTGTAACCGGAAGTTGATGCCATACATTGCCGTACTTATAGTGTATTGTTTCTTGATTTGGCTTTCAATTAGTTTTAGTTTTTTTCTGATGCAATGACGTTTTGACATGCTAAATTATGTGGTATTTTTTGCCACATTTAATCTTTTAAAAAAAAATTAATAGCGTCAATACATATCATAATTTTAAGTGTAAATAAAACTTTGGCAAAACAAGCGATGCTCATATTTCAATTCCTTGTAACTTTTAATCCATTCTTTATACTGTCACGCGAACAACTTAAGACAACGAAGATAACTGGAGACAACTAAAAGAATTGAAGACTCGATCAGTAAATACCGGGAATCCCACTTTAAATTTTTTATCTGATTTGTACAGGTTTCTAATTAGATTTTTTATGCCTATTTTTTAGGCATATTTTCTATAAATCCGAACTTTAATTATTATGTTATTCCATATTTAGAAACAAATACGAAATGTTCAAAATAAATATACAACAACTTAGCATTGACTAGAATTAACTTAATAATATCATTAGAACTAACACTAGACCTAGAAAGTTTTTGGTTTCTAGCCGAATTTTTCTAAATCTAGTATTAGTTCTAGTTTTAATTGTCATTCGGCGTTAGATTGATGTATGTTTTGATTGAACTAAAACTAGAACTAATAATTGACCTAGAACAAGAAAGTTTCGGGTTTAGAAATAAAAATACGTATATATATCTAACACTATTAGTAGAACTAACACTATTACTACAACTGACACTAGATCTAGAACTAGAAAGTGTGATGAAACTAGTGATGGTGCTGTTAGTTCTAATTAGACAATTTGATCATAGGGTTGTTGCGAGTTCAAGTGGTCTAGAAACTTATGGAGACGCTCTTTTCCATGCATCAGAAACTTTAGCTTTGGTATCCAATGACTCTTTTTTAACGCTTTTTTTTAAACATCTCCATGTAGAATTTGACGATTATCGGTGGCCTTTCGCATTGCTAGTAAAATATTCTCTTTGTCATTTCTTTTGAATGATGTAAATGATGAGTAGGTACTTAAAGATATTTACAATATATATAGGATGTTTTATTAGCTCACCATCAAACTTTAACATATGATAGCTAATCCAATTACCAAAAAAAAAATGTTAACCAAAATGTTAATAACCATTCGCAAAATGCTAACCGTTGCTGATTATCTCCTAGTAGAGCTTGCACATTCTGTTTACTATACGGATGAAGGACTTCGCGGTTCAATACGAGCTATGCAAAATTTTGACTTACATGTATGTTGTGTGCTATTCTTCGAGTGCTTATAGAAGGATTATCAATGAGAGCATTAATTACAACTTCTTCGTCCTCTACATTAACTACATGCAGTCGAATAGCTTTTGTTGGAGCAGGATTACCTGTTTCTCGAAGTCTTCTGAAAGAATCGCTAAAAACTGAATAATATGTATTTCTTGCCACATTTAATCTTTTAAAAAAAATTTAGTAGCGTCAAAAGATATCATAATTTTATGTGTAAATAAAACTTTGGCAAAACAAGCGATTTTCATATTTCAATTCCTTGTAATTTTAAATCCATTCTTTACACTGTCACGGGAACAACTTAAGACAACGAAGATAACTGAAGACAACTAAAAGAATTGTACATTCGATCAGTATCACTGAACAACAACTAAAACTAGAATTAACTTAATAACATCATTAGAACTAACACTCTTCAGATGCGCTACTAAACCCGAATATTTCTAGTTCTAGTATTAGTTCTAGTTTTAATTTTCATTCGGCGTTAGATTGATGTATATTTTGATTGAACTAAAGGTAGGACTAATAATTGACCTAGAACTAGAAAGTTTCGGGTTTAATCATCTTAAGAAACATACTGTTAAACCCTAGTTCTAGTTTTACATTAGCACTATCACTAGAACTAATACAAGACCTAGAACTAGAATCATTCGCGTTTAGCCGTCTTGAAAGACGTGCGGCTAAATCCGAATGTTTCTAGTTCTAAGGCCCAGTTTATTCACTTTTGGTTAAATTTAACTATCGGATATTTACCATAGTTACTGATCAAATAGCCAATCATGTGAGGTGAAATTACAGTAACCATGGACAATATCCAGTAGTTAAATGTAACCAAAGGTGAATAAACTGGGCCTAAGTTTAGTGTTAGCTCCGACCTTTTTCCAAGCAAAACTTTTCCTTCGCAAAACTACCCAATGCCTGTACTATTAAGCTATGTTGCATTTTATGTGGAACAGTGCAAATGCATAGTAGTTTCCTAACTATGTATACAACATTCATATATTGCTAGTTATATGAAATTCCCGCTATTAATAGACAGAACTAGATGTGTTAACTGTGTATAATAACCTAATGCTGAATAACAACTAAAATTAGAACTAACACTGGCCCTAAAACTAAAAACATTCGAGTTTAGCTGTGCATCTCTTAAGATGGCTAAACTCGAATGTTGCTAGTTCTGCATCTAGTGTTAGTTCTAATTAGTAAATTTGATCATGACGAGTTCAGGTGGACTAGAAACTTCTGGAGACGGTCTTGCCAGATCAGAACGCATAGCTTCGGTTTCAACGGACTCTCTATCTAGAAATTGACGATTACCAATGACAAAGGTGATCCCATGGCTGCCCTTGTCATTTCTTTTGAATAATGTAAATGGATTAAACACTTATTTTTCGATGAATACTTAAAGATATTTACAACATATAGTTGAAAATAATTATAATAAGAGAGAAGGTATACCGACATTAAATCCACCTGTATATACCGTTATATCGTTCGTTGAGTTGGTTTCGCGTTCGCCATTCTGGTCGCGGTTCACGGTTGAATCGCGAACACCTGACAACTCTGACAGATGTGTCTCCCGGTTGGTGAGCCGTGGGGTTTCCAAGGGGGGGCGGGAGGTACGAGGGGGCGGCATCGCCCCACGGGGGCAACGTTTCGTTCTTTCGCCGCGAGCGAGCGCCCGTCGGTTAATTGAACGATCATTACGCCGGCTGCGAGTCGCTCAGAGCGTCCGTCGATCGCTGGGTCGCCAATTTCACCCTCTTCCCTTCCCTACTGTTCTCGTCCAATTTCGGTATAAATTAAAGATGTCGTTCCCCGGTGCACGCAGTTTCAAACTCTCTTCCGTTTCCCCCCAATACCTACCCAATCCAAACCAAACCAACCCAACCCAATGATTTCTAATTTTAATGTTATTCTGTAACATAAATCCTGAAAAACAATGAAAAGATTCAAAAATTATTTAGGAATAAATGAGTTGAGTTGGTGTAATCAATTAAGTTCTGTATTTTCTCAATACTCTTTCCGGTATGTCATCCCCTCGTTTTTGAAGTGACACTAAACGTCCGCCAAGAGGGAAACGTGGAACGCTCGTAAAGCTTATACGGGCGCAGTGGGCGAATAAAATATACGACCGGGGAAATGCGATATTTGTAGTGGGGGTTATATTTATAAAGCTCGCATATAGAGTCGGTCGACAACCTGTTGAATTATATGAAACATTTGATCGTTTACAATTCGTGCGCGGCCCGAACCGGGATATAATACATTTTTCCGTTCACACCCTCGTGATTTTAATCCTACCCAAAGTTATCGATGCAATCGAATAGTAATTAATATTGTGATTGAAATCGGTGATTATATGATTTTAAATAACTCCAAGACCAGATATTTACGTTAAGTGATGATAATAAAATGAAAAGTAATTAAGTAGAAAAAGTTTGATTGATCCTGCGGGTTTTAATCGTTTATTAAAGAATATAAGACAAAGTGTCTAATTAA